ATGAGTTGCCTAATTCGACTTCTATTATAAATGGACATCTGATAGACTAATCTCAGTTCGAATATAAATAGATGTATATCTCTATAAACCTAGGAGTTTAGGAATAGATTTAGTTATACATGTGTATACCGATGGACATAGGCTGACATATAGCTCGACTGAAAGTATTCCTGAAACTATGCATAACAAAATCTATTCCTATCTATTTCTAAACGTACATGAAGATGGGCTTAGACAGAGCTGAACCTATCCCTATCTATTCCTAACTGGCATGGGTGAATAGGCATAGCTAAATTTATCGCTATCTATTTCGAAGTATGTATAGGAGTGTATTAGGAATTCGTCACTTATATTATAAGTCGAATTAGGCAGCTACTCAACTTTTGAAAGGTCCAAAGTTAAATTGAAAAGTTCATCACTGCAATGAATATAAAGAATATTGAGTCCAATTTCGGCAGGGTGTGAAGTACTAGGGATATATTTTTCGACGAATAACCGGAACAAAATGAATGATATTCAGATGGACGACGGATTTTCTCATCTCTATACGGTCTCAATAAATCCATTGAACGTGTTGGACAGCGAAAACGATGTTCTCCATATGGATCAACGTGACTTTCCTTACAACGATTCCAAAAACAAATTAATTCATCAGTTTGATCGAAACAAATCACAAATTCTTGAGGGCAAAAGAAATTTGATGTTTATTATCGCAAAGAAAACGATCTCCAGTATCCGATAATCTGAACATGACGAAACATTTCCTTCATCACGACCTCCGACACAGCCAATGACTCCATCACCGATCAATACATTGTCAAGTTTATTTATATTGATACATATCTAAACTACATATCCATTGAGTACAATTTAGTTCATCTTCACCATTCATGACATCCCAAATTGAATTACAACAATGATGAAATGGTAATTTCACTTCATTAACACGATTAGTTTTGAAAATTCAACATGGATATTCATTTACATATTCACAACGAAAGAAAAACCAATTGAGTTGAGATGAAAGTTCATCACTTCCACCCTGACATTCATTTTTGTTATTATCCATTTGTTGATAACTAACGTATTCGGAGGAAACTGATGTGGAACAATGATATCGATAAGGTTCAATTTCAGTCTATCTTTGAATAAACAATCGGCATAACCATCATTTAGACGACGAAATGAGATGATCTCATTCGAACTATTACACACGTAGAAGGAATATTCATTCGGTATTAGTCCAGTTCTGTGCAACGCTGTGATTATGGTAGAGTATTGACATCGAAAGCTATTTGACAGTAACAGATAAGTTGAAAAGGATTGAAATTGTTCATAATCTATACAATGATTGTGATCCAATTTTGTTTGAGTACCATTGCACAGAAACGAACCAGTGAAACACACACGATTGGAGGTGATTTTCGTGAAAATTCTGTCGATGAAGATCATAGAATGAGACGAGATTTGATTTGTTAAAGAAGATTTTTATGATTGGAGAAAAAATTGCTTGTTGAGGAAAAGGAATAAGATCTTCACAAGTTTCATTTACTCCAATCCACGAACGTTTCTTGTTTATTCCACTTAATAAATTCCTCAAATCAAAAGAACATAAAAAATCATTTTGTAAACGTTCGGAATGTTGTCCTTGAACGCAAACTCCATTAGATATTGTTCTATATGTTATCGATCAATATTTCACAATGATAAGGTAAATCACGCATATTCACACATCCATTTCGAAATTGGTGAAATTCAAGTGAATGGAACCCAATTTTATCTGAACCCTCTGCGCATTGAAGAATCCCCATCAACAAGACAAAAAATGAGTAGAACATCGGTTGTTATGTTCAGAGATTTGAACGATGAATATTTCCATGGAATTTCATTTTTACACACTTTGGCTTCATTCGTATCGTTATGATGACAAAACAAATGTTTTTCATATAGAAAACATTCAGAATCGGTGGGAATATTGTACGAAATCCAGTTGAAATTTGTTCTGACAAGATCAAATAAGAAGAAACACAATAATCGTTGCAGATATCTCATTTTCTTTCAGAAGAGTCTTTCAGATGGAGTTTAGTTCTCGAAAGATGAACTCAATGTAAAAGACACGTTGAATAAGTAGAGAATAGTGTCAACAACGATGTCGTTGTTTTTTGTAAATATTATTTTGAAAAAAAAGGATGTTGGAAATGATTTTCTATATAAAAAAAATCTATTTGATAAAATGCAAAAGNTTTGTCTTATACATTAATAATTGATCGTCTAATCCAATGAAAAGACTTAACATAATTATATTTAATAGACATTTTCATCACCTCAAGTCAAATCAGCACTTTCCTTCATGTTTTTTTAAAGAATATCAATACAACATTTTCTTTTCTCATTGATTCAACATCCATTAAGAGCGTCAAAAGAATAGAAAATGTCGAACAAAATATTCCTGTTCATTGTAAATGCATGTCTTCAATGTGATTTTTTTCATCTCGTATATTATTTACATTTTCGAATATGAGAAAAGAGTAAAAATAATCTTCTCGTTATATTTTTGCTATTGACCATATGACTTACGGATTATTTGTTTTCAAATTCAATGAGGAAAAGCGATAGACACGATTTTCATCATCATCGAACTGTATTGATGTTTGTTTATTCATCTGCTAATCAGTTCGAGTTATTTTCCAACATCTTTGATTAATGGTGAAAATTTTGTCTTTATCTGATCAAATGATAATACACTAATGGGGCACCTGACAGTGACTGAGTACAACTCTCACGCTGAAAAGAATGTATGGCGTCAGTTGCCGTTGCCATGCGCGGCTTTGGTAAAGAAAATCTCTACTCAGGTTAATAAATCCGATAGAAAATCAACAATCGATGGGTCGACCGGGATATCCATATTTAGATTAATATTCTTCGAACAACTGAATTTTGAAAAGTGATTTCGAATACTTCATTTCTTTTGTTTTGCTCACAACCTTAAATGGCTAAAATATTTTTTTCATTTGAATGTGTCACAATTTTTGAGTCACTCAGTAAAAGTTGTAAAACCTGAGAATTTCCCAAGTAATTTAGAGATATATGTGTTCATCTCGATAAACATCATGTATATAAAATTTCCTGTATTTTTCACACCATATAAACTTCTAATTGACGTCACATATGTTCGAAACACAGTTAAGAACAAGAAAGTAAAAAGATGGAAGGAAAACTAATGTAGACAGATACATTGAACAGATCGAGACAAAAAACGAAGTATTTCATTATGAATGTGGAATATGAAATTCTATGTATGAAAGAGTTTCGTCTCTCATTTCTTGGTCTTTTGAGAAATACTGACTGTTTGCTTTGTCTGGTGTGTTTTCAGTACTTTTTCATCAAGAGAATCCATAATCATGTGATATTAATCACATTCTGTTAATGTATTATGACTTCATCTGCTGTTATACATTGAACGAACTGTTTAGATCAATGAAGTAAATCTTATTTCAGATATGACACTAAGATTCAAAGTATTTAATGTCCAACAATAGCCATCATGAACTCCTTTACACTTATTTGACTATATGATCATTGTTTCGTGAAGAATTTCGACAATTATATTCTTTCATTTTATGAAATAATCCACTGTGACGAAACAATGAGCCAAATCGCCTAGCGTTGTACGGAATCAAACAACAGGCAGATGAGCAAATTAAATCAATGGAAAATCAAGTCAATATCTCGTTGTGAGCACTGTTTTCGTCTGGAAGCAAACTAAATTCGATTTTAGACTCTCAGGTAAATCACGAACAACCGATCAGTGAACACATCAGAAAGGATTGTCACTTTGTATGTGATATGAAGTGAATCAATTTGTGAACTGTCGAGTAAACTAAAGAGAAAATAATCGTTTCGTGATGTTTTTGTTATTGGCCACAGTTGAATATTGGGATTTTCTTTAAAAACGTCAAGATCACAACAAAAAAAATACTTTTTCGATTGGCTCTTTTCAAGTTAAATTTGCAGAAATATGAGAACAACTTCATCTAAAGCTGTGAATTGACTTTTGTCTTTATCCGAAACAAAAAATAACAAAGAAAAAAGTTTTATATCGATGACAAAATAGTGTAAATAGCATCTAATAGTTGTGTATTATTTTCCAGCCATTGCTCTTCTCTTTGTTCCATATTTCCAAGTAAAATAGTAGATGAATCGGACAATTTCCATGTTTGACCATCATATGTTACTAATTGCCAGTTGATTGCAGTCGTTACAAATCCATAAACCATTTTATGATCATCATTTATGTTCCACATAGATTTCAATGTTAATAATAATTGGGTAAGTCCTTTTCCAAGTGAGTCACGTTTTGCTTCGACGACAAGTAAATAACGGGTGTTCGCAGAATTCATGATTTGAGTAACGACAAACTCCATGTTTCCACCAAATTCTTTGTCTTTGCTAATGATCTGTTTCTCTCGTGTTAATTCTATGTCATACCGATGCATTGTACGTCGATAATACGAAACTATCGTTATCAAAATCATTCCGACGTTGTCTGTGATGACAGCTTCATTCATTGGAGCGATTGTTGCTTCGGGAAATCCTTCTGATTCAATACAATCGATCAAACGATCAAATATCTTTCTTTTTAATTCAACTGGTGCACTTTTTGTGATGAAGTTTTCAATCGGTATTTGAGAACGATAGAAAGTATTGAATTTAAATCCGAGTATCTCTTCTGCTTCTTCTTGAGAAACATCTGAATAGGAAGTTAAGTATTTCTTTTCTGATCTTAAAGAGACTTGTGCATCAGACATTTGTTGTTAATCTGAACAGCACAAAATATGAACTTTCTTCTCGATAATCGTCGTACAGCCTAGAAATACTTTCGTAGTTCAGCCGAAAATTGTGATATACCAATGGTTTTAATAACAATAGATGTCGTCAATATGTAATCAGTTGTGCGCGTCTTTTACTTTCCGGAATGACTGAAAAGATAGACTTACACTTTCTCAAATTAGAGATACAAAATCGAATGACAGTCTTTTTTCTATTGTGTTCGATACAAATTTATTCAATAGATTCGTTTTCAAAACGAAGTTTCGCAAGGCGTATTTAGATTTTCCATCGATAAACTGTCGAATTTTCACAATCCGACGCATAAAAATTCTTTTCTTCATCATCAACAATCATTTGTGCAGAATTCATTGTTAAATTCAATTTTCCCAAATCTTCAATAACACTCAATTTTGATTGTTGATAATCACATTTATAAAGATTTGAATTCACTAAAACATAAACAAATCCTGATTTCCCGATGGTCAAACTTGATATTCCTTTTCCTTCTTCGATATCGAAGGGTAGTTGAAGTTTCATCGGTATTTTCTCATTAATGGAAACAGTAAAGATTTGTGTTGAATCGTAAACAAAGATTTGATTTGATTGACGATGAAATTGTAAATATGGACAAGAATTGATTTCTGTTGTTATGAATTTTTCAATTTGAGCCTTTTCATTTGTCATATCGAGTGAATAGAGTTGTGAACTGTCGAGTAAACTAAAGAGAAAATAATCTTCTTGTGACGTTTTTGTTATTGACCATGGTTGAATACTTCGATTATTTTCTTTTAAAACATCGAAATCATAACAGAAGATATTTTTCGATGGACCTTCTGCAAATGGTCGATTGTTTTCAAGTTGAACACGAAAGAATTTAATGACACCTTCATTTAAAACGATGAATTGATTTTTGTCTTGTAAATATAATAATGAACAAGGATTATCAAATGGATAAATACGATATCCATATCTTCGCCAATTTCTTCGATTTATTATTCGATCTTCATCATCACCTGTTGATGGTTCACTATCTTCAAACGGATCTTCAACACGATTTTCATCTCCATCTGATTCACCTTGAGAATATCCGTCACCATCATCATCATCGTCGTCGTCGTCATCATCCATTTGATCTTCTTCGACATTTCTTTTGCGTTGATAAACGAATTCTTTTTGATATTCTTTGGAATTTAAATCAATTCGTGTTAATTGATAATTCGTTAATACATAAAGCGCATCTTGTTCTTTATTCAATTGCAAGGATATTGGTGTATCTACGTTGGTCGCAATAATTTCATGATCAATTGTTTTCGTTGCCATATTATCAGTACTTGTTCGAAAAGGTCTATTTCTTTGTCTTTATATATCCATCTGCTTATCAGTTGAAGTCATTTCACAATCACGATGAAATACTTTTTTCTACCTGATATTTGCAGAAATATATATAAAAACAGATAGAAATCAATTTAGTTATACTTACGATTAAGTCTATTCGTCAAGAGTCTATTTACATAATATATACTTTACCAGTTTTCTCATCGCTCTTTTCATCTTTACCAAATATAACCTTTCACATACTCAGAACCGATTAGATGTGGACAACAACATTTGGAACGATTTAGTTCCACAGCACTTATCTATTAAAATTGATTTATCTACATCCTACTTGATGATTGTATATGTTTGATTTTATTCAATATGTACTATCCTTTGGAGATTCAGAAATTGAATTGACTTAATTTCACTTATTAAAAAGACTCGTTCGTACCATAAACACGTAAAGTACCAATTGGAGTGAAGAAGAATATATAATATACAATATTAATTTTCACTGAGACAGGATGAATATTATGAAAGAATCATTGAGATGGATGGCGATCAACATATACGTCCGATTGGTAACATGATATGTCATGTTTTGTTTGACCTAATTGAATGGATATTTTCTATAACGAAAGGTCATCAGTGTAAAAAAAAGCAAGAGTGACTTATACATTTATGTATGTGTTTCTTTTGACATTGACACTCAAATCGGATGGAAGAAAAACTGAGTCAATCTTATATTAATTTTATTGATCTTCCTGTGGAAATTCTGTATATTATATTCAATAAATTGGATAATGTTGATGTTCTTTATTCATTATTTGGTATAAAGAATAAACGACTCGATTTCATACTACAAGATCACATTTTCTCCAATACTCTTAATTTGACAAAAATTGTGAATAATGCCTCAATATTTGATCGATTTCGTAATTTTATAATACCTGAAATCCGTTCAAATGTCAAATGTTTGATAGTTGATTCTTCATCAATCGAACAAATTCATTATCCAAATGTAAATCATTTAAAATTTATGAATTTTCAACGTGATAATTCACTTCAACATTTTCAAGGTAAGTCATTCTGTTTGAAATCGAATTAAAATCCTTATGAATTTATTTCTTTAGATGAATCACCTGTTGGTTATATTTTGAAAAACCAAATAACAAAACTTGAACTGACAAATATTGATCGTGAATCGACGAAAACATCATGGGAAAGATATACACAAACAGTTTATGCGCACATTCTAAATTATTCTAAAAAATTAGAGCATCTCGGTGTATTTAGAAAAACCGTATATGGAAATCCACCATTATCAGTACATAATTTATCAGCAAATACATTTTCTTCATGTACTCTCACTTATTTATCTATTTATGTGAGTACATTTACTGATTGTCTTTGTTTACTTGATGGTCGTCTCAAACAACTAAACACANGATATACACAAACAGTTTATGCGCACATTCTAAATTATTCTAAAAAATTAGAGCATCTCGGTGTACTTAGAAAAACCGTATATGGAAATCCACCATTATTAGTACATAATTTATCAGCAAATACATTTTCTTCATGTACTCTCACTTATTTATCTATTTATGTGAGTACATTTACTGATTGTCTTTGTTTACTTGATGGTCGTCTCAAACAACTAAACACATTTATTGTTCAAACTTATTCAATGGATACGGATACATCTGCCGTTCACAATTGGGTAAATACTTTTTATTTCAATGAGTAAAATGGTCATTCGAAAAATCTCTTTTTCTACTACATAGGATGATTTGCCTAAAATAAAATGCTTTTCATTCATTTCTCATGATATAATTGAAGAATTTGATGATAAAGTCATATCTCTTCTTCGTCGAATGCTGAATTTAACTAAATTAACATTATATTTACGTATTAAATCTCAAAATCAATTTCTTAATCCAACCTGTATCATTACTGAATATTCAATGTATATGAAACACCTTCATTCATTTGATTATTATATCAGCATTGAAAATTGCCGAGACAATTATATTCATACTGAACAAAAATGTTTGAATTTGAGTCGAGAAGTCTCAAATATTGTTAATTTTGCTCCTAAGAAAGTGACATATCATCTTTTTACGGTTCCAGTTCAATTTAAAACACTTCAGTATATTGGTAATACATTCCCGAATATAATATTTCAAAATGTTATCGAATTATACGTAGATGATATTATTCCATTTGAACATGAATTCTTTTTACGAATTGCAAAATCATTTCCATTGTTACAACGTTTGATGCTTGCCAATTATACAAGTCCATTACACGCATCGAAACAATCGCCTCAAGAAATTGATTCAAACACAATCGCTCGATTTCCAAATCTTTCTTCACTTTGTATTATAAATGTAGGTACTCGTTACATCGAACAATTCTTAAATGAGAATAGAACCAACTTACCATGTTTAACTATATTACGAGTTTTATATGAAGATTTAAGAGCTGTTACGGAAGACTTTACAAGAGATGCAACACGTTATAATTGTGCGAATATAAGAGAATTAAAGACTTATTCAAATATCGTTGGTTCAAAAGATTTTCATATGTATTTTCCCCTACTTAATTCTTAATTTTCGCAACATTTTCACACCTTATTGATAAAAACGTGAATCATTAAAGAACATGCAAAATGAAAAAAAATGTCTCTGTGCTTGCGAGCAATTCAATTCTGTTTTTCGTCGAACAGTGAATTTGGATTTTCTCCTTGAAGTTCATCTAAGAAAAGGAAACTTTTTATGCTTGAAATCGACTGTGTTACATACTCTTTTCCATTTCAAGCTGATCAATTGCAGCTTTAAGTGAATATTTATTACACTCTAGTTTCGAAATTTCTTGTTCGATTGTGATGCTTTTTGTGACGTATTTAATGTCGGATCACCTAAGCGACATCGCATTTTATTGATGCCTGAATCGATTCTTGCGATCTCATTTTTATTCATATCAATCTAAATACAAAATAAATATCCTGGGATCTTGTTTTCTTTTTAAACCTATTACTGAATTTTGAATATAGTGAATGCTTGATATTTGTTTTTGAAACGAATGAAAATTAAGGACTAAGGTACTCGAGATAAGCGGAAGTATACGTTCACAAAATAGATTAAAAAACCCGTTTGAAACACATTATACCATTGTGAGATAAAAGAAAACTTACTTGTCTTTAATAAGAGACTAAAATATAAACGGATGCAAAAAAAGGAGGAATAAATAGTTCTTCGAAGATATAAACTGCGCTATTCGGTCAATTTCTCTTTTTCTGTAATGGTGTACTTGCAGCTTCTACTCTTCATTTGTATACATTCTTTTTAGTCCTTTTCCTTATAATAGTACGTGATATCAATAAATTCGTTATGAAATTATCAGCAGCAGAGGCGTAAGAAAAATGTATTTAATTTCTTCTAAAGTTATTTCAATTGCGGCCAGATGTACCGGTTTCATGCTTGTATACGACCGAATTCAATCGAAATTAATGCGGATTCTCACAGTATCGGATCTGATCGTATATAATGAGAAATTTCGTAGTTTTCGTTGGACAAATTCGATAGGTACGCAACAGGCCGGATTTTTGACGGCAAAATCCATTGCAAATGAGACCCAGGAATCTTGCCAGATTTTGCTTGGAAGCTTTTTTCATTATTTTCTCTAACTATTTCAGAAATGTTTTATTTGCAATTCCAACTCGTTGTTGTATATCTTTTGCTAAATGATATTTCGTTTGAAAGTATCTGTTTCATTCTGCTTCGATATATTTATATTATCATGGTGATCACGTATGATGTTACATCGCTAGCTCGTTCTTTTACATATTTCTCCTTCTATGCATCACATTCTGAATAGGAGAGAAGTAAAATAGGATATAGACAACGATAATATACGTGTTTGTATTTTAATTAGACTGAAACAAGTAATTACCCTTGACTGTAGTTGATATAAGGAAAATTTGAATATCTTTTGATATATCTTAAGCCAACTCCAAGAAACATTAAAATGCTCTCTAAAGCTACTGACTCTGATCGAACATACGAAGAACAAAAGTACGTAAACTTCAGATTTTATCCGAGAGGTATGTGTGCCGCAAAAAGTGTATCATACAGGAGACAAAGACAGTCAGAGAGATAATCAATTCTATTTTTTATAATTCATAAGTTACTCGTTCAATTAGTTTTCTTCTCGAACTTCAGCACAGTTTTAATTTAATAGTACACCCTTGAGTATTGTATCACAATTACATTAACCTTTCTATAGTGATCGTAGAGAAAAACGGACGGACGACACAGGTAGATCCGTGTAATGCGCTCACATTTGCAGTCTGCTGTGGCGGTAGCATGTTTCAAATCTCCTTTTAGTAATATAGTGTGGGTGCCTAAACTGTCTTCAATTGAAACTCGTATTTAAAAAAAAACATGTTTTTGAATGCTATTCGATGCTTTACACCATCCAGTACATCTCGCAGGTAATATAGGTGAAATATATCCACATTCTCCATTGATCCTCAGCATGACGTTCTTAGCAACATGTTGATGTTTTTCTAGGCAAAGATGATCATAAATATAGATGAACGTTTTATGGCGTTTTCTATCAAAGAACTACTTGAGTGAAATTTTATCCTCAGAAATTTGAATTGACTTGAGATGACAATAATGATTTACTTCCGGTTTAATATCAAATATCAAAATCAAATCTTCATATACACACCGATGTTTTGAAAAAGATAATTGTTACTTGTATGTTATTAAATATTCGGCATAGGACTGTGCATCGTGATAAGCAACAAAGATATTAGTTCCATTAGTGGTTGAATCACAACCAACTGGACATACTTTCATTGAAGAATTGCCTACAGTAGAGTTGCCTATTAATACTTTTGCGATAAACATACAACGTTCTCCGGCTAAATTCACTATTGTATACGAATGGCTGTAAGATGCATCTGTAGCAAAATATACACCGACCCCATACACAGTTCCTTGAAATGAAGAATATTACAAAACAATTCTCTAATAAATTCATAATCACCATTAACACCAGCAAAACTTCGATTGAATCCTTGATCGATAATAGCCTTGGCTGAATTTTCTGGACATCCATGGTATACTATTCGTGCTGTATCTTTATTCAAACGCTTTTGAAAATCTTCTTCATGAACTTTGTATTGTTTATACCATCGAATATTTTGAACACGTTCTAAACGAACGATTATCGGCGCATACGGTCTTATTGTTGCTTTAAATTGAGCAATTATCGAACTGTATTCTGTAGAAGTCGTTGAAACAGTAAACAGAATTTGGTTTGAGTTACTTGATAGCTCCCAATTCGAAGGTAATTCGTTGTGATTTAAAGAAATTGACTCTTCAAAAGAAAAGAAAAGAAAATTTCCAGTTGTTTTCTATGCTTACTTGATATCATTGGTTGAAATTTATTTTTCTGTTCGACAAATTTATCGTACAGGTCTTCTCGATCAGGTAATATGACAAAAACAATTTCAAGCGAGTGATTTAATACTTTCAGTTGATTTACAGCTTTCGAAATCATGACTTCAGCAACCAGATCAATCGAATGGCCGAATCCTCCGCAACCTATTCTTGAAAGAGAAAACAATCATTGAGCTTAGCAATTTCGTCATACCGATAGCAGGGAAAGCGATACTATGAAGATTATGTTCGATCACACGTTGGATAGCACTGTGAACAAAACCTTCAATTGAATTTCTTAGGATTGGTGATGCAGCACTTGTATTCCATGATATGAAAAAGATTTTCTTGCATAATAATTGACCTGCTGATGTGATAATTATACCATCAGAGGGATTTTTATTTTTGCCATCGGTATAAGCGGTTTCAACCGAGGAACCAGCTGCTTTCAAGATCGCTTGTCGTAACCCATCTGACGAAGAACTAACGACTATCGCATCTACCTAAAATTAAAGTTTAACAGACGTCTTTTTAGCTCAAAGACATAGACATAGAGCAGCCTTTGCGTACATTTTCTTTCGCTAGATCACCTCGTCTGACATCAATACTCTTGGAATGACTAGATGGTACTGAGGAAAGTGTAACTTGAACAACAGTTGAAAATGGACTTAACAAAGTTGTATCCTTCCATAGTGTCCATGCCCAAGTTTCCTTTTGTGAATTATTATCCACTGCGGCAATTCGATAATAATATGTTTTGCCATTTTGAAGATGCGAACTATCAATATACGTTGTCATTTGACCATTTGATATAGTTGTAATTAACTTGAAGTTGGCTATATCTTCGATACTAGATGCTCTTTCAATTCTATATCCATCTGCGTTTGCAACGGGTGTCCATGAAAGATTCACAGAAGTAGCCCTTTCGTCGAAAACTGCTTGGAAATTACAGGGTGCTGTCAATCGAGACATTGCAGAGACAACTAAAGAGAATGCACTTGTCAATTGATTGTCGATAGCTGCAATTCGGTAGCTGTATGTTTTACCATTCACAAGATCTGAATTATCGATGTAAGTGGTTGTTTGACCATTTGATATTGTTTGGATAGGTGCGAAATTCATCACGGCATTTGTAGGTAATGCTCGTTCAATTTTGTAACCAGTTGCGTTTGCTACTGCTGACCATGAAAGAGCAATAGTTGTACTTTCCAAACCTATCATTGCTTTGAAATTCTCAGGTGGTGTCAATTGAGGTATTACAGTGACAACGGGAGAGAAGACACTTCTTGTTTCAGTATTAATAGCGGCAATTCTGTAACTATATGTTTTACCATTCATAAGACCTTTATTATCGGTGTACTTGGTCGTAAGCTTGTTTAAAATATGTGAAATCGTCTGAAAGTCTGCTATGCCATTGGTGGGCAACCCCGATCGTTGAATTTCATAACTAGCTGCGTTAGTAACAGATGACCAGGAAATGTCAATGCTAGCACTTTCTCTACCTGCAGTTGCTTTCAAATTATCAGGTNAAATTGGGGTGTTGCTGTGATGATGGATGAAAAATCACTTGTTGCTCGCCCGTCTATGGCTGCAATTCTGTACTTATAGCTATTACCATTTACAAGATTAGATTCATCGGAATAAGCAGTTGTTCCGGCACTCGGAATCGTTGCAATCTTAATGAACTTCGATTGAACATCTTCAGTGCATGACATTCGCTCAATTTCATAGCCAGTTGCATGAGGTACACGTGACCATGTTAGAAAGATGGTAGCATTCATATGACTGGTTTCTGCTCGACATGTAGTAGGTGGGAGTATGCGAGGTGACACTTGGATATGTGTCAGTTCACTTTCTTGATCTATCCATGAAAATCGTCCTCTCAAATAAACATCATAAGACTCTCCGTTAATCAATTCAGTTAGAACTGCGCTTGATTCACCAGTCTGTGACTTAATTAATAATAATTCTCTTCGCTGCATACCAATGGAACCTGTCCGTTCATAATAGATTCTATAGTTTGTGAAAAATATAGATGGAAAACAGACGATTTTTACTTCAGTATTTCCACTTTGTGCTTGAATTAAAGATTTGCTATATTTGTCAAACACCTTGTTAAATAAGTGACGAAAAAAAGACATACATATATAGAAAAGCGCTGTGTAACATAAAATATAAAGAAAGTAATTCCATATGAAGCCGAGAATTAGCAGCAGAACAACAGATGCAAACAAATCTTTCCACATGTTACTTGCAAGAAGCCAATAGAGAAAAAAATCTTTGTTTTTTTGTTTGCTGTGCTTATTTGTCTCCTTCTCTTATCTATAAAACTATGCGACTTGACTATGAAAAGGAAAAAACCGTCTAGAACGTGAGGATCAGAATGATAAGAACGATCAAATAGAATTCTTCATTACAATCATCTATATATTTGAATTAAATATGGTTTAGTATCATCACTGATTGAACCATCAACTCAGGATCTGAACAATATAAAATAAGGTTTATCTTCATTATTCTTGTATGTAATTCAAGAAATAAATTTTCGTTTGTTATGTGCATATATATTGCGATTATACAGGAATTTTATGCATTATTACTTTTTCAATCATAAGCATCAATTGACAGATACGTCTCTTACACTTCACCAAAATCAAAGCTTAGAAAAAGTTTACAAAACTCTCCGGTTATCGTACCAATTCATTTATTTACGAATCAGAAAGGAGTCGATATTAACGGATTATGTGTCGAAAATTGTTGGATTTAATGCTTAAGATTATTAACAATCGTGGCTACAATTGCAACCGATTTAAGACTTCGTCGTCTTTTCACTTTTTCAATTTGAAGTTTTTGTTGTTTTGTTGGTTTTGTTTTCGTTGGAATTGATTTTACCGACGTTGATGTTGCTCGTTTTAATTTTGCTAAAAACTCATTTGTAATCAATGTTGGATCGTTTAGTAAAGGAATATATGTTCCATCTTCTACAAACAATGACAAAGAATTCATTGAGTTTTTAAAGAAAAGAAAAAACCTTCAATTCGTGTTAAAACACAATGTGAATGAGCTGGTAAACGACGTTGATCAGCTGAAACAATTTTACTTTGTGATGATAAAAGATGAAATGGTTCACCAGTATTCAATGAACATAAATCAATTGGAATTGTTAATGATACACAACAATGTTTACGAAGATAATTTACAAAATTAATTGACTATTTTATAGAGAAAATCTATTTTGGTCTTTCGAAAACAGATTTCACTTACTCGACAATTTCCATTGATAAGTAAAACTGAACCGTTACCGTAGTGAACTTCGATCAACATTTCTTTGTGATGGAATATTTATGAATGAAAGAATAATGTGCGTTTTATTTTATTTTTATCAACGATATGAAGGAAATTCTTTGCGGAAAATTCATTTAACAACTTAATCGATCAATTTTATCGGTAAAAGAAATATTTTTCTTCTTTCGATTGTAATAGATGAAGGTGTACATTCAGAGAAAAGCAAATTTCTAATCATTTACTTCCACTAATCAGATTTTCCATCGATTTAAATTAATCGCTAATGGAAATTCTTTTGACTTTATTGATGTTCTCGTTTATTTTGCAATGATTTCTTCTAGTAGATGCTCGATTACTTTTCAAATAAATGAGAAGTTCAAGCGTTTACTCTCGGAATGTGAAGACTAAGTACAATCGATGTACTCCGACGTAAATAGATCAGAATAATCAATTGTAATTGTTGGAAAAGTTCTGGTTTATTTGGAAGATTATCATGTTTATCGAGAAATTCCTCACATTGCTAAGATTCGAAACGATGATCAATCTTTTCGTTGCTCTTTAGATCGAGGCGAGGGAAAGTCTCGTCAGAAGTTGAATAAATCATTCGAATTTTACTATACGATTCTTTAACCGAATGAAACGAGTAGTAGAAACTCTTTCTACATAATCAAATGTTATTTTGTTGTTGCCGAAGCAATAATACCGGACAAGTATCGGAAATATTCAACAATTATGATCGATTATTATTGTTGCTATTTTTGGAATAAGAGAATATTTCTTGTTTAACGATGAATCAAATTCCAACACGTGTATCGACTGATAGAAGACAATTACGTTTCAATTTCAGATCGTAGATCCGGTCATCATTTGAATTCTTTGATCGGCAATGATTCGAAGATATCAAGAGGAAATCCTCGGAAACAGTTTTAATTTGAAAATCAATGTCCTACTAGAGACTGTCTGAGAATACAATATGATTGAGGAAATATTTTGATCAGATTACGGAAAACATGAATCACTGGTTTTTAATTTAAAATAAAACGAAAATCTTACATTAGGAAACAACACAACATGCGAGTTTTGTTTTGCGAAACTTTTTACTATGATAATGAGTTTTGTTGGGAGTATAACATTTAAAAGGATCTTCTCGATCAAGATCAAATCGTGGAGGAATCGGTGGTGCCGGTGATGATGGAATATCAGATCGTTTAGGAATTATTGGTGGAGGAGAAAGAGAAGGAGGTGCATCATATCCATCAACACGTGGCGGAGGAGCTGGTGGAGCGCGACGTTTATGTGATCTTCGAATAGGTGGAGTTGGTGGTGGAGGTGCTGTGCCAATTGGAATATCAATCAAACGAAACGGTAAATCATCAACGTCGATAAAATGTGCATCGTTACCCATCTTGTCAATCGAATAAAATAAGAAAGAAAAAGAAAGTTTTCTTTTTCTTCCTTTTATAATGAGTTACACAAATTCCGACACGTATATTGATTGATAAGAGTCGATCACGTTTCTTTATCATTCCTGTTTGACGAAGGACCTCCTCATTATTTGTATACATATGTACGTTCTTACTCATTAATTGAGATTCATTCTTTTCTCTTTTTCGTTCTTTCGTTTTATCATCGTCATCATCATCAATCATCAGATGTTTTTTCTTCACACTATTTTTCGGAAGAAAATATTTTTCAAAATGAAGAACAATTCGCTACGATATCTATTTACTTTTATTTTCCAAGACAATCTGTTATTGTGCAAAAGAGGAAAATGTTTGTCTTACATATAAAGGTCAACTTTTATTTTCAATCAATGAGAAAAAACAACACTTCTATTTTTTTGCTTTTTAATGAACAAATTTACAAAGTCTCTTGTGTACTTCATTCCATTAAGTCTCCATTGTCATTTAAATCATCATCATCATGAGTACGTGGTGAAGACATTGATGAAGATATTGTTGATGATGCGGGAGATTGAGGAGAATATTGAGGTGATGTTGGACTATAACGTGGTGAACCAATATTTGGACTGTAGATTGGAGATGTTGGACTATATCTTGGTGATGATTGAGATGGAGAATATGTTGGTGATGTTGGACTATATTGTGGTGATGTTGGGGAAAGAGATGAGGTGTAACCAGATTGACTGCCTGATGGTTTGTAAACTGGCGAACTGGGTGAATATTGCGGTGATGTTGGGGAATATGTAGGAGATGTTGGAGAATACGTCGGTGATGTTGGTGAGTAGGTTGGTGATGCACTGCTACCACCATGACCGCTTGGTGAATATTGCGGTGATGTTGGAGAATAGGTAGGAGATGTTGGACCTGAGAAATATCGAAATAGATAATGGAAATATCAATCTTATGAACTTACTGTATGAAGGTGTCGATGGGCCTGATGGAGATTGAGGTGAATAGGTTGGAGATGTTGGACTATACGTTGGTGATGTTGGTGAATAAGATGGACTTGTTGGAGCTGAAAGAAAAGGAAGATAGATGAAAATGAAGGTAATGAATTGTAATAGAAAACGTACTGTATGAAGGACTTGATGGTGAATATGATGGACTTTGTGGAGAATATTTTGATGATGGTGAATACTTTGGTGATGGACCAGTATTTGAATAACCGGGTGACGATGGAGAATAACGTGGACTAGATGGTGAATAGCCAGGTGATGATGGTGAATATCCTGGACTTGTTGGGGAATACGATGGTGACGATGGAGAATAACTTGGACTAAAGAGAGATAATGAAATTTCTATTGAAAAAAAAACGATTTCTTTTGATCAATTACCTTGTTGGACTATATTTAGGTGATGTTCCATAAGCTTGATTTTTCAATGCTGGACTTTGTGCTGAATAAGTTGGCGATGTTGGTGAATATGAACGATTTGGTGAGTATGATGGTGATGTTGGTGAATAAGACGGACTTGTTGGTGAATAGAATGGCGATGTTGAACCTTGTTTTGCACCACTACCAGAATAGGTTGGACTTGTTGCGCCATAGGATGGACTTGTTGGGCTATAATGAGGAGATTTCGAACCATAGAAATCATTTGATGAATATCTTGGCGAGGTTGGAGAATACGATGGTGAATTCGGTGAATACGATGGTGATGTAACTGGATAATTGCCGGGTGATTGTGGATTATAACTTGAAGGTGATAATGGCGATTGAATGTTTGTATATGGCGATGGTGACATATTACCAGGTGATGATGGATATGCAGGTGAATAAGCAGGTGAAAAGCCAATTGTATCGGCTGTTGATGATGGTGAAAATCCACCTTGTCCCATCGGTGTCATTTGTGCAGGCGTTTGTGGCCAATGCGATGGTGTTGTTGACAATGAATTGATCCAAGGCGTTCCAGGACCATGTCGATCACGTTCGAATTCTTGTTGCGCTTCATGTCCCATTAAAGCAAATTGTCCTTGTCCAAAATTCATTGGTAATTCCATAGCCGATGCACATTTTTCTACATCTAACAATAATTCAAATGAACCTGTACCGATTTTGGCTAATTGTCCGAGAAGAATATTTTCTGAAACACCTTTCAATGGATCTGCTTCGGCATGTGCCGCTGCTTCCATTAAAACATCGACAGTTTCTTCGAATGAACATCTCATAATTGGTCCAACGTCTTGTCGATTGATACCATGTCTTGTAATAGCCATTAAGTGTCCTTTGGTGGTCATAACATCACATAACAAAGCTAAATGACGATAATTAACATAAGAACCGTCGAATGAGATGACATGATTCATTTCACGTTCAATTGCTTTTCGTACAGCTTCAATACCGAGTACATCGAAGATTTCCACAACATCATTGGTAAATGTTCGACGTGAATCGACATCTTTTGTTGATAAGACTTTCTTCAATGCTGTACCATCAGTTTCTAACATCCAATCAGCGATTTTTTCAATTTCACCGTTTTCACTAATTTGAATACGTTTCTTCGATTCATCGAGTTTTGGATTGACCATATAAACTTTGGCAATGGCTTCAATACCTTGTAAAGTTAAATCAGACAACATCGATGATTCTAAACAACGTAAAAATGTATCATCATCCATTCGTGTTGTATCTTCGGCTTCTTCTCCTGTTGCATTTTTCGTTTGATCAACTGTACGAATACGTAAAACAAGTTTTTCTGCATTATCATCATTGAATATAACATTGAGACAATCACCGAAGCCTTGAGAAATCTTTTCAGAGATTTGTTCCATAGTTAAAGTTTTATCCGTCATTCGTTTTCGATCTAATTCAATTCGTAATAACCATTGAGAAATATTTGTGATATCTTGATCAGGCATTTCATAATACGTATTCACCCATTCTTGATCTTCAGAAATAACTGTTTCTTGTGGATCAGGATCATAATAGATCGCTGTATTTGCCGTCACTTTTCTCAATGTGCAATGTTCGAGACGACACAAGACTTGTTTACATTTTTCTGCATCGTTTGTTGCTTGTCCAGTTAAATAAACCGTTAACGATGGTGTTTTCGGTTTTTTCGATACGTTGATAATTTCTTTGAGACGCGGTACACCTAAAGTAACGTTTTTCGCTGACACACCAGCGTAGTGAAATGTATTCAAAGTCATTTGTGTTGCCGGTTCACCGAGAGATTGTGCAGCTAATGCACCAACCATCTCTCCAGCTTGAACTTGTGCTTGTTGAAATCGTGTTTCGATTTCACCACAAAGCCAATTGAACGCTTCATCAGTCAAACGATGATTTTCTAAAACTTGTCTCGACGATAATGATGAACGTAACAAAATGTTCATTAACATCGTTGCATTGTGTTGGGCTTCATGTGATAATCGATCATCGCCTTTAACAATGATTAATCGTTCAGTTAATCTTTGTAAACCTTGAATAACTTGCATGGGCGATAAATTCGTTTGTGTTCGATTTGAGATATGAAATGTTTTCTTTGCATTGTAGATCAATCGTTCTAAATTACAAGGCAAAACTATTTTCGATGCATCACCTGTTGGAAAGATTTGACGAAGATTATAACGATCTTCGTTCAATTGTTTCCATTCATCTTCTATTGCTTGTAAAGATTCATTCTTATATAAATCACGAATCACTTCATCAGCGAGATATTTTCGTAGAGATTTTTCACCAGATGATAAATCGAATTTACACAGACGTTCGAAGGATCGATTCGATGGTTTCAATGAAATAATCGATTGAAATTCAACGTTTTCACCAGCTAAACCATCTTCGCCATAAGTAAATTGAATTAATTGTTCAATTTGATTTCGAACAGTTCCATCATATTTCACCATAACTGATTCCATAGCTTTAATTAATCTTCTTTGAATGTAACCAGTTTCAGCTGTTTTAACCGCAGTATCAATTAAACCTTCACGACCACCCATAGCATGGAAATAAAATTCGACGGGAGTTAAACCTTGTAAATAAGAATTTTCAACGAAACCTTTTGCTTCAGGTCCATAATCATCTTTAATGAAATGAGGTAATGTTCGATGTTTGAAACCGAATGGAATACGTTTTCCTTCGACGTTTTGTTGACCGACACAAGCAATAACTTGAGAAATGTTAATCGATGAACCTTTGGCTCCACTGACGACCATCGCTTTGAATTGATTGAAATCAGATAAAGATTTTTGTGCAGATGAACCTGTATTATCACGTGCACTATTCAATAAACCATTGACCATATTTTCAAATGTTTGTCTTAGAGAATTTCCAGGTGTTGGTTCTAAAGCATCACGATGCGCACGTTCGATAACTTTGTGTACTTCATTTTTAGCTTTTTTAATTGTTGATTGAATGGTTTCGTACGTTTGTTGATCGGCAATTGTATCAGCAATACCGATGGAATGCCCTTCTAACATTAACCAATTATTAACAACAAGTTGAATATGAAAATATAATTTTCCAGCTTTTTCATGGCCACATTCCATGAAAACAATATGTGCTAATGAACCAGCTGATGTCCCCAATGTTCGTTTACAAAGAATTCCGGAAAGAAGACGACCATTTTCGACTAAGACTTTTGTATCACCTGGTGAAATCCATTTAAATGGCCCATTATCTTCATCATCGGGATGTTGACCATGTGTACGGACACAATTGACTTCTTTCGGTAAAATTAATGAAAATAATTGTTTACCGGTCCATAATGGTTTCGGTTTCAATATTGCTGCTTGTGGAATATGTCCATCCCATGATGGTAAAAACATTAATAAATTCATAAAATCCGCTTTTTCAATAAATACATCACGACGTGTCATTTTTCTCACAGCTGTTAATGTATCTTGTACAATACCCATAACAGGACGATTGGATTGTGGTGTAATAATTAAACGTGGTACCATCATTAATTGAGATAATTCAGCTTTGGCTTCAACTGATTGTGGTAAATGTAAATTCATTTCATCACCATCAAAATCAGCATTGTATGGTGNGATGGTGTTTTCGGTTTTTTCGATACGTTGATAATTTCTTTGAGACGCGGTACACCTAAAGTAACGTTTTTCGCTGACACACCAGCGTAGTGAAATGTATTCAAAGTCATTTGTGTTGCCGGTTCACCGAGAGATTGTGCAGCTAATGCACCAACCATCTCTCCAGCTTGAACTTGTGCTTGTTGAAATCGTGTTTCGATTTCACCACAAAGCCAATTGAATGCTTCATCAGTTAAACGATGATTTTCTAAAACTTGTCTCGACGATAACGATGAACGTAACAAAATATTCATTAACATCGTTGCATTGTATTGGGCTTCATGTGATAATCGATCATCACCTTTAACAATGATTAATCGTTCAGTTAATCGTTGTAAACCTTGAATAACTTGCATAGGCGATAAATTCGTTTGTGTTCGATTTGAGATATGAAATGTTTTCTTTGCATTGTAGATTAATCGTTCTAAATTACAAGGCAAAACGATTTTCGATGCATCACCTGTTGGAAAGATTTGACGAAGATTGTAACGATCTTCGTTCAATTGTTTCCATTCATCTTCTATTGCTTGTAAAGATTCATTCGTATATAATTCACGAATCGCTTCATCAGTAAGATATTTTCGTACAGATTTTTCACCAGATGATAAATCGAATTTACAAAGACGTTCGAAAAATTGATTCGATGGTTTCAATGAAATAATTGATTGAAATTCAACGTTTTCACCAGCTAAACCATCTTCACCATAAGTAAATTGAATTAATTGTTCAATTTGATTTCGAACAGTTCCATCATATTTCACCATAACTGATTCCATAGCTTTAATTAATCTTCTTTGAATGTAACCAGTTTCAGCTGTTTTAACCGCAGTATCAATTAAACCTTCACGACCACCCATAGCATGGAAATAAAATTCTACGGGAGTTAAACCTTGTAAATAAGAATTTTCAACGAAACCTTTTGCTTCAGGTCCATAATCATCTTTAATAAAATGTGGTAATGTTCGATGTTTGAAACCGAATGGAATACGTTTTCCTTCGACGTTTTGTTGACCGACACAAGCAATAACTTGAGAAATGTTAATCGATGAACCTTTGGCTCCACTAACGACCATTGCTTTGAATTGATTGAAATCCGATAAAGATTTTTGCGCTGATGAACCGGTATTATCACGTGCACTATTCAATAAACCATTGACCATATTTTCAAATGTTTGTCTTAAAGAATTTCCAGGTGTTGGTTCTAAAGCATCACGATGTGCACGTTCGATAACTTTGTGTACTTCATTTTTAGCTTTTTTGATTGTTGATTGAATGGTTTCGTACGTTTGTTGATCAGCAATTGTATCAGCAATACCGATGGAATGTCCTTCTAACATTAACCAATTATTAACAACAAGTTGAATATGAAAATATAATTTTCCAGCTTTTTCATGGCCACATTCCATGAAAACAATATGTGCTAATGAACCAGCTGATGTTCCCAATGTTCGTTTACAAAGAATTCCTGAAAGAAGACGACCATTTTCGACTAAGACTTTTGTATCACCTGGTGAAATCCATTTAAATGGTCCATTATCTTCATCATCGGGATGTTGACCATGTGTACGTACACAATTGACTTCTTTTGGTAAAATTAATGAAAATAATTGTTTACCGGTCCATAATGGTTTCGGTTTCAATATTGCTGCTTGTGGAATATGTCCATCCCATGATGGTAAAAACATTAATAAATTCATAAAATCTGCTTTTTCAATAAATACATCACGACGTGTCATTTTTCTCACAGCTGTTAATGTATCTTGTACAATACCCATAACAGGACGATTCGATTGTGGTGTAATAATTAAACGTGGTACCATCATTAATTGAGATAATTCAGCTTTGGCTTCAACTGATTGTGGTAAATGTAAATTCATTTCATCACCATCAAAATCAGCATTGTATGGTGTTGTCACACTTAAATTTAAACGAAATGTTGACCATGGTAAAATCTTTACACGATGTGACATCATGGACATTTTATGTAATGTAGGTTGACGATTGAATACAACTAAATCATCATCCATCATGTGTCGTTCAACAATATAACCACATTGTAAATGTAAATCCGTTGCTTTTGGATGAAAACGAAGATCAATTCGATCACCTGATTCCCAAATAATATATTTCGCTCCATTACGACGAATTAATTCTTGTAACCATTCAATATTAAATGGTGTAACAATTTCTGGTACTGTTAAATTTTGTGCAATTGAACGTGGCACACCAACTTGATCAATAGCTAAATTAGGATCTGGTGTAATAACTGTTCGACCACTGAAATCAACACGTTTTCCCATTAAATTGCCACGTATTCGTCCTTCTTTTCCTTTAAGACGTGCTTTGATCGATTTTAATGGTCTTCCACTTTTATGACATGATTGAGGCATTCCAGGCATATCATTATCAATTAATGTTGCACAATGATATTGAAGATATTGTAAATGTTCATCAACAATATGCGAAGCTGTTCCACGTTGTTCATCTTCACGTAAAGTTTTATTTGCTTTCAAAACATTTGCTAAATTATATGTTAAATCATCTTGACTACGTGCTGTACCAAATACTAATACAGATGGGCGAACACACATGGGTGGAACAGGTAGGACAGTGATAATCATCCAATCAGGTCTTGCATGACGTGGATCCATTCCAAGTATGTGACAAATTTGATCCGGAATTGATTTGAAAATTGCTAAGACACGTTCAGCAGTTAATTTCATCTTTCTTTCTTGATTTTCATCCGGAACATTTTTCCATTCGATGTAAACATCTAACCCAGATCGACGATATTTTGGTTGAGCACGACCGCAGCCACCACTGTATTTCAATGTTACTTCGTTGTTGTTGTCACTTTCACTTCCTAGACGAAGAAAAAAAAAACGAGAGCATAAATAGAATTTTCTTCGAGGAAATATTCGCGATAACAAACCTTTACAAACTTTTTGTCCTTTACAAACATCGAAAACAAAAGCTAAACGTCGACGATATTGTCCCTTGGTTTTTTTCAAAATATCAACAATTTTCGGATCATTTGGATCAACGAGTAATTTCGAACAATGAAAACAGATACAACGTAGAACTTTTAAGACTTTCGAAAGAAAAGCAACATGATAAACTGGCTTTGTTACTAAAGTCAAAAAGAAAGAATGAAATTTATCAAGAGATTTCTTTCATTCTCACATTCGATATGACCAAAATGACCTGGACAATCGATATATGAACCAGCACATGTTTTACATTTGGAATTTCGATCAGGTGGTCCTTGTCGTGGATCCATTAGACCACGGTCTTTAGGTTTTCCTCCTTCCATCAATTCAGGATGTTCAATTGGAGGATTTGTAACTGACATACGTTTTATTTCATCCGGTGATAAGATACCGAACTGTACACGACGTACATTTCGATACGGAGCTGTCGAATCAGCGATCTGTGAGTTGAAGTAAACCATCTTACTTCGACTTCAACTAAACAGGAATGGACAAAATTACATTGCAACACAACTATTTATACACAATGCACCGAGAAAGAAAAACAACAAATTTCTATTGGTTCGTTGTCATTAACAAATTACATTGAAAGTTTCAATAGATGTCATTAGTTACTTGATGAAGATGCCGTATGAAAACAATTCTGCTAGGCAAAAAGAATGCTGTAAACATTCACGGCAATGGATTATTAGAACAATTGTCATAATTAATCGAGATTGAATCAAATATTTGAGATTCATTATTAAAAGAAATTATTGATTATTCCTATTAGCAAGGAAATTCATTTTGTACATGAGCGTTTCATCTAATTTGGAGGTTTGTTGTTCGTAGAATCGTACGAATATACTTTTAAATATATTATGATGAATGTTACTGTCACTATTAGTGAAGTCATATATACATGAAATCATCTCTCTTTTTTGTTCTGCTGCTCTTCCTGCTTTTCTCGTTACCAAAGATCGAATAAATCAACATTTTTTTTCTTGTGAAGTATCTTCTGGTTCACTTTTGAGTTACTTCGCATATATGACAACAGGTTTCTTTAAGATCTTTTTTTCATATAACAACAAAGTTCCGTAGTGAACAAATGATACACATTTTACTTCTTTGAGAGTTCATTTGTTTGCTCAGTTGCCTTTTCTTTCATCAAGGATGTTTGTAGATAGAAGTCCATCATTGTGGGAATGCAATCGCTTGTTATTCGAACAGACGATGGAAATTCATATCCCAAATAATTAATGCTGGTGCGTGTGAAACTCTGACAATTGAGAATACTTGACCATGTTGGACCACCGTTCGATCGACATAAAGGATTAAATACATTTTGAATCAAATTGGACTTGAGATAATCTGCATAATGTTCGGGCAAATAAAAAGCCAAAATTTCTTCGTATGGTATTTTACCAACTTTATCGACTCGAAGATAATAATTCCATTCATCTGTTTTGTGTTGAATCATCACTTGTGTTGTATAGTCTGTTGAATTTCGAATGTATAAATCAAAATGAGTTGCGATTAAATGTTGTTCATTTGATGATCCTGAAACAGCGATAAAAATGGTAAATAATCATAGATGTTATTTGAAATACCAGTAATATCAACAGCAATTCCATAATGGGATCGTTTTTCAAGTTGATCATTCATTTCTTCTGTCGCACCGACTTCTTTAACCTTGTGTTGAACAAAGTAAATGGTGCCAGCATGATTGACATTCACGATTTCCATGCCAGAAGTAGATGAAATTTTTTCCGGATTGATTTTGTCGATACTTAAACCCATAAATGAATTGACCGATAATAAACAAAAATTATTCTTTATCTACAATAAAACGCCCTTTAAATGAAATGAAATGAAAATTCATTCATTTATCGTACTCTACTCTTGACAATTGAACTTTTTGTCATTGTCTTGGTCATTAGATAGTGTCTTCCTTGTGCACTTGTACTGGCAAATGACATCGAGTCGTTTGATAGATGGCGCTGAATAAGACATCTCGTCTTTCATCAATATAATCGATCTTCGAAGATTTTTCAATAATGGTTCGTAATTGATTCAAAGAGAACTTCTTCATTTTTAAGTAAATCATCTCATTTCCGATAGAGATGCAATGCAATCAATGATATCTATGTAGAGAAAGAAATCGAAATTGTAAACATCTACTCTTGACAATTCAACATATTCGACCATGTTGATATATTGTTCAATCTATGCAGAATAATATTACATTTCAAGAGTGAATTCTATTCATCTTTCGACTGTGTATCTTTATTACTATTGATTAGAGAAATTTGTAAAAATATTAGATGAATATTTGATTTCACAGATAAATTTGAACCTTTTTCTCTTCTTTGTAGAATTGACAATTCCTCGAATTCTATTCAATAAGTGAATCATTTAACTTCAACGAAATTTTCATTCAAATCTGAGATAAAAGCAAATGTTTGATGAAATTAAATGAAAATTCGATTTTAATCGTTTTCGAGAAATAATTTCATTTTATTTTCAATCTTATATAAAAATCTTAGAAAATTGAAATTTGTTTATAAATATCCAAAAGATCTTCTGTCGATTTTTCCCACGAATATTTTTCGGCATATTTCCTTGAAAGTTCTCTTAATATTTGTGTATTTTCTTGAACATATGTCAATGCATTGAGAAATTCTTCATCATCATTAACATCAAATTCCAATTGTGGAAAATCTTTCTGATATAATTTTGTGAAAACTCGACATTTTGGATAAATAATTGGTGTTCCACATGAAAGAGATTCAAGTAATGTAAAACCATAGGATTCGTTTAGACTTGTACAAAGAAATGCTTGAGCACTTTGATAAAATTGATATAATTGATCATATGGAATTCGACCGAGAAATCGAATATTTTCGATATTTTTTCTTTGAACATAATCTTTCAATTGGGATTCAATTGGACCAAAACCAACGATATCTAAAGTGTAATCAGATTGAATTAATGAAAATAAATCAATTAAACGAAATAAATTCTTTTCAGGTGCAATTCGGCCAATAGAAATTAATTTGTTTCGAATGAAATTTTTTGAAAAGAAAAATAATTGATGATCAATTCCAGTTGAAAGAATGTATCCTTTGGAATAATTTGGACAAAGAATTTGTAAATCTGTATAATTTTCTGGATGTAATATCGGGATTTTCAATCGAATTGTTGGATAATAATTTGTGTAATATCCAACATTTGATATTAATTGAAAAATAGAATGATTTTCGATATATTGTTGAAGAAATTCATATATATTTGTATGATATGATGTACAAATATTGATTTTCATTAATAAACAAAAGAGATAAATGATAATTGTCAAAAGAAACAGATTTGGACCAACAATATGAATCATTTGATATTTTCCGAACAAAATATCTTTGTATAATTGAAAAGATGGAAAACAAATTCGTATATCTTTATTAATATAATAAAATGGAATACTAAATAATATTCGATTGGCTGTTGGACAATTTCCAGGTCCATAAACAATCACTTCATGACCGAATTTTCTTAAATATTTTATATAATATTCAATACGAATTGTTATTCCACTGGTTTGGGGATGAAGATATTCACTTAAAATTAAAATTTTCATTTAGAAAAAGAAAAAGAAAAAACAAATCTGTTTTTCTTCATGTTCTTCACAAATATTCGACCTTGGTTTTCGTCACGCGTAACTGAATTCACATCGATATACAAAAAAAAACAATATTTGTCTTACTTATTATTCTTAGATTTCATTTTCAAATGAAAATCTTAATAATCGGTGGTGATGGATATTGTGGATGGGCAACTGCACTTTATTTATCGAAGAAAAATCATCAAATAACAATTATTGATAATTTTATTCGTCGACAATGGGATGAAGAACATCAATTAAATTCACTTGTACCGATTTCTTCACTTGAACAACGTGTTCAACAATGGAAAGATTTAACAGGAAAAACAATTCATATAATTAATATCGATATAACGAATTACTCATCGTTATGTCAAATTCTTAACTGTGAAGACAAATTCGATACTTTAATTCATTTTGCTCAACAACGTTCAGCCCCATTTTCAATGATTGATCACGATCATTCAATTCGAACTCATATAAATAATACAGTTGGAAATTTAAATATTTTATGGGCATTACACGACTATTCACCTGAGACACATTTAGTTAAACTAGGAACAATGGGTGAATATGGAACACCAAATATTGATATCGAAGAAGGTTTTATTCAAATTGAATATAAAGGAAGATCAGATCGTTTACCATTTCCCAAACAACCAGGATCATTTTATCATTTAACGAAAGTTTCCGATAGTGATCAAATCAATTTTGCGTGTAAAACTTGGAATTTACGAGCAACAGATTTGAATCAAGGTGTTGTTTATGGTTATGAAACAGATGAAATCAATTTATCGGAAATTTTAGCCAATCGATTCGATTACGATCATATTTTCGGAACTGTTCTCAATCGATTTTGTATTCAAGTTGCACTTGGTCATCCATTGACTGTTTATGGACAAGGTGGACAAACACGATCATTTATTGATATTCGTGATACAATTCAATGTATTGAAATAGCGTGTGAAAAACCAGCTCAACAAGGAGAATATCGAGTTTTCAATCAATTTACTCAAATCTTTTCTGTTTTACAATTAGCACAAATGATTTGTAAAGTTGCAAATGAATCTTTGAATATTCGTTGTCAAATTCAACATTTAAATAATCCGAGAAAAGAAAAAGAAATTCATTATTATAATTCGATTAATACAAATCTACTTTCATTAGGTTTACAACCAACTCTTTTAACAGATCAAACAATTATTTCATTAATTCAATTAGCACAAAAATATCAACATCGTGTTAATCTTCAACTTATTCCTCCACAAATTCAATGGAAATCTCCAGAACATCAGAAATAATTGATTTTCTTCACTTTTTTTTCTACAAAATGAATTTGTCTTAAAAGATTTGAGAAGAATCGAAAATTCGATATACATAATTATGACAAATCTATTTTGTTCATATTCGATGAATAAATGTAGAGAAAAATCGATCAAGGAAATTTTCATTTCATTGATTTCGAATATCTTCAATAACAATGATTTGTCTTTGCTATGCTCATCGTTTCTTTTAAAAAAAAAGGGTGGGTGTAGGTGAGGATATTTTCTTTTACCACGCACATCTGTCCTCATGAGAAGTATGATTTTCGTTTTGTATCGTGGAAAAACGAATAAAATATGAAAGAACAAAGTCAATGTGTTTTACTAAACAATAGGCTTGAGTTTATGTTCTGCAAATACAAAAACTAACATTCTTTAACTTTTTTCCCTAACTCATTTTCGTTGTTATTTCATATCAATTGATTTTTATTTAGTAATGACCAGTTTTGAAGATCCTTCCAATGAAATTTTCTATAAAATAGTTGAATTTGTACATTCGTATAAAGTATTTCATTGATTTTAGGATGTAAATCCACGATGTCAAGAAGTATCGATGCAAACCTATGGTACAAACAAACGATATGTTAGCTAAAAACGGTTTTACTAAATAATTCTCGTCCCTGAAAATGATACTATTCAACTCAGAATTAGACTCTGCATCGAATGGTGTAGTTTTCATGGACGGGACATATTTAGTAAAAACTTTTTTAGCTAAACATCGTTTGCTCGTGCTAGCGTCATACTATGATTAGTTACACGAAAGTTTTCGACAAACTGATAACATTATGTTCATTTTTTCTCTTTCAACTTTCGAATAAAAAATAGAATGATCAAATGATTTCATTGAAAAACAAAAAGAGAAATTCGTGTGAAATTATCGACAATGAAACTAGAGAGAAATAGAATTTGTCCATGTTAACTTTGCCGAATTAAAAATATAAAAGATTCTTTGTTGAAAAAAGTCTCAATTCAACTAAAAATTCATTTTCTAATAAAAAATAGTTTTGAATGATGGAATTCGAATTGGAAAGAATCTTCGAGTAAGCCATGTGAAAACCAAGAAAAATAACATTGAAAGAAAATATCGCATTCTATGAGAAGAAAAAAATGAAGAAGAAAAATAAATTTTGTAATGAACTTACATAGTTTTTGTCAAAGTTAATTTTGATTTTTTCGATTGATACAACGGTTCTTTTAATAAATATTTTTTCACTCCAATACAATAATTTCGAAGATAAAGTGTCCAATTAATATCTTTAACATCGAAATGAAATTCTTGTTTATCAAAATCTGTCATTTGATTTAATAAAAATTGACTATTATGATTAGAAAATATCCATTGATTCGATGCGAAATAATTTAAAGTGGCTACGGCATTTGAAATTTTTTTATTTAATTTGACCATTCTAAAAAGAAAATGAAATACATAATATGACATGTTAATCGATTTGATTTACCCTGTTTTACGAAATGTTAATAAACAAAAGAAATCAATTAAATATGCGGGAAGGATTTCTTCGAAGAAACGTCGAATATAATAAAAGGGTCTAAAAGAAAAAGATCATTGAAGAAGAAAAGAGAAGTTAGTGATATACGTTGTTGTTGTAAGATAAAGATTTGGTTGAATTATTCGATAATTCTCAAATCCAATTGATTTTTGTTCTCGAATTACAATTTCAACTAAACATGTGAAATTCTTTTTCGAAATCTTTCATGAAAATCAATTTACCATAATCAGAAAATGAGACACAAGTCTTATAATTTGATCCAGTTGAACAATTATAAACCATTGGATTTGATAATCTGAATAAAAAATGAAAAGTTCAAGACGAATTTCTTTTTTCTCAATTACAAATTGTTTTTAGTTGCTGTAATCCATCCAATAGCTATTGTCATATTTGCAACAATATCAACTGGAATTAATGGATGATCAATATGTGAATTAGCTTGACCTGATCTTAATAAACATTTTCCCAACTAAAATTAGTTTCAATTGAACAAAGAATATTTCAATTGAAACTTTACTGAAGTGAGAATACTTGTTGTTCCACTGTAATTATCAATCCATCCCTTTTTAAAAAGAAAATCATGTCTTCTTATCTTTTAAGAAATAATTAATTAACTGGTATTGGTTCTTTCCATGTTGCACCAATAATTGAAGGACGAATGATCGCTAAAACTCATAAGAAGATGAAAATGATGAAATTTCAATTCAATCGATACCAAATGGTAAATCTTTTGTTTGTTGAAAAATCAAATATTCAGATAAAGACTTTGTATATGTATAAATATTTGGATAATTCTTCGCGGATTTCAATGCTAAATGATCAAATAATTTCCCATCGAGATTTTCTAAAGCTTCTAAAATTAATTGAGGATTTTCATTGGTTGGATAAATAATTTCCTCAATATCTGTTCGATAACAATGAACATACGCAGTCGAGATATGAACACACGACTAAAATTTATCTTCATTGGGAGTTTCAAGTGATTTGTCTTCTAACCTGTAATTGTTTCATTTTTCTACATAAATTAATAATACTTTGAACAGATAAAACATTCGATTTAATCGCTTCTCTAAAACGAAATCGAAGTTTTGAAGAGGAAAGAGAGACAAAGATTTACTTAAATGGTTCATTAAATCGAATCGAAGCACCTGAATGAATAATCATATGACAATTATTTATGATCAATTGTTCATCTTCACAACTCAAATCAAAATTAACTTTCGTTAAATCACCAATGATTGGAATTAATTTCGATTGAAAATTTGGATTTAATGAACGAATTTTATCGAATAACTAAAGAAGAGAAAAGAGAGATTTTTTTTTTGTTTATGAAAAGTCATTGAGTGTAATTCTACAGGTAAAGAACATAAATGATTGATTCGATCATTAATATTTTTATTTCGTTTTGATCTTATAAGAATATAAATATGATTAATATCTAAATTCAAATCAATGAAAGAAAAATATCTTTTGAAAAAAAGAAGTTTTTACCTGAACATGATCGAAGAAGTTTTTCAATGATTTGTTTTCCAACAAAACCAGTTCCACCTGTTAAAAACAAAGATTTTCCATAAAAAAATTCACTGATTCCATTGTCTTTATTTGCATCGGCCATTTTTATTTGAAATTATCTGAAAAAGCAAATCTCAATAAAATATTTCGTTGATTTTTTGTTTGTCTCTTCATATGAAACGCTGACACATATTTGTTGGTTTTTTTCTTTTCTTTCTCTACGAAATAAAACACATAGAGGATTGAAGATATAAAATCGATCATGCAGAAATACGACGAAACGATATAAGAAAAAGAAACAAACGTTTGATCATTTGATTCGTCTTTTCGTTTTCAATGGATTTTTCAAGAGAAAAAATCTTTAAGAACAAAAAAAGAATCGAATTTCAGTTAACATCTGGAGAAGATCATTTATCAAGGACAAAGTTTTTCGTTAGACGAATAAATAAACATTCTATTCGAAGTTTTTCTTTTCTTCTTTGACCAATTAACTTCGAATGGATAAGTAAGAAAATGTGAGAAAATTAAAAAAAAGACTCGAAGAATTACCAACGGATTTTATGATCTTTTGTGATTTTTTCGAATAAAAATTATGAAGAATAAGATTAGAAGAGAAAAAAAAGAAAAAGGTTGTTTTTCTTTATCATTTTTTATACAAATGCGTTTTCCGTTTGAACTATTTCATCAGTTCTACTCTAATTAATGTCAATAAGACAAATTGATACAGGTGGTTTTGTTGAAACAAATGGATCACTTGTACTATCAGTTCCTTGATTATTGATAAGACAAGGAATAACCTTGTTTTATCAATATGTTATAAAGCGAAATCTTTTCCGTGTTTAGCAAATAGATTTGTTTCTCAAACGGAGTAATTATCTCTCAGAAATGTTTTGTCCATACGCTTTGTTTTTCTTACTAAATGCAATTATTCGTCCTGAGAGTACAAAAGAAAACTTCTTCTTTATAGATATGCGGTTAACAAATCATAGAATATTTCCTATGTGGAGAGAAAAGCAATAATATCTCGATTATAATTCATATTATGGATGAGGGAATATATCTCTATTAACGTACAACTATTAATAATACCCAACACTTGGAAATTCACATTTTTTTCATTGTTCAACATCATTTCAATTGTAATTTAATATGATAAAATACATTCGATTTTATTTAAAAACTTGAAGCGATTATGAACAATGTTCTTCTTCTTCTTTGAGTGAAACAATAACGAATCCTCTGAAGTTATTAACCGATTTAAACAAGAGAATATCAAATAATCATTTCTTAGTAGTAGAACTGTTTATTAACATGAAGATTTCTTATCAAAATCGTCTTTTGTACATCAATTTATCGTTCATTCATTCATATGTTATTTTCTGAACAGGAATTACTAAGATTTAATGAAATTGAATATAAATTGATAGTGATGATCAAATAGATATGTCGAACTTGAGCACGACCGACAAAGTGTGTAGCGGATCTATTGTTCTTAAATATCGAATTGTTGTTCCTAATGCAGAAGAATAGTTGAGAAAAGATTGAAAATGTGTATTTGATTAAATTATCTAAACTGATCGAATACCAAATTCGAGAACAATGCGATAAAAAAATGAATTCTTAGGATCAAAGAAGGAAATATTGACAATGAATAAACATTGAATGATGTTTTCTTTCGTAAAATATTTATAAAAATAAAGATCTGTCTGTGATTTTGACAAATAATTGTGATGTATTTAACAAAATATTCTTAGTAATTGAGTGATGAACATCGCATTGGTGCATTTCTACAATTTAATATTGAATATCTATTATGATTCTCTTCTACGTGTGTTTTCTTTTTGTAGTCTGTGAATTCTCTGTTAGAATAGGAGAGAAGTACCATTGAGTAAAGAATTGGAAACTATTATTCTTATTTCAATCGGTTGAATATTGACGATTGATGGACGAAATTGACCGGTCAATCTGTCTATTGTGAAAATTATCAACAAATAGTTAGTTGTTCCCGATAAGATATATTTTCTTGTCTCTGTAGAAATCGAGATGAATTCAGATATGAATTAAATGATAACATATTTCATAAAGTTTTCTAAAAATTGAGTATTCATAATAAAAAGAAGAATTTTCTATTCTATGTAAAACAGGACATCTGATTGAAGAAAAGAATCGATAGGAAATATAAATATGTTTTATCGAACATCTGGAGAAGATCATTTATCAAAGAGAAATATTTCGTCATACGAATAAATAAACATTTTTCTTGATTTTTCTCTTTGCGAAATGCAAAAAAATGTTTCTACTTGTTAACTTCGAATGATTAAATATAGAAACATCGCATAACAACTGACTGGTTATCAATAAGAATATTTCTTCGTGTCGGAACAAATAAGTATTATTGTTATTCTTCTTCTCGTGTCCTCAATGACTTGTTCGAAATACAAATCAGAATAAGACCTTTTCTTGTTTATTTATATATATTTTTTGCCGATTAAAATAAGAAAATCTTGTTTAATGATGCCAAATAAAAAATTCGAAGAAAAAAGGTTTAAAAAAAAGGGTAAAAAGAAAAGCAGAAGAAACAAAAAAAGGTTTGTTTTTCATTGTCATTTCTATACGATTGATTTTCGTCTTGCATTGGCTGTTTTGACTAATTCATCAACTTCACTCCAATCAATTTCAATAAGACAATCAATTACTTTAAGATCTTCGTAAATACAAGCGACATATTGTTTACCAACAGTTGGTACAGGTGGTTTTGTTGGAATAAATGGTCCACTTGTATTATCAGTTTCCGTATTATTGATAAAACAAGGAATACCTTCTCCTAAAAATCAATCAACAATTTCTATTAAGATAAAACAAATAAGTCTTTTCTCGATATATTTTACCCAATTGTTCATAAGCATATTGTTTCATTGTTTCATAAACTCTTCCTTTTAGATTTTTGATTGTTGCACGATCGAATTTCAATGTATAATGATCTTTGGGTGGCATTGTGTGAGTTGACGCACCTTGATCAACTTCAGATAAAGTGGCCAAAAATGCCGTTTTCGATTGATCAATATGTGATAAAGCCGAATCTTTTCCTTTTAGTATTCCCATGCTTGTCTTTTCTTTTTCTTACTTTATTGATGTGAAACACATATACAAATGTTGCAATTATCTCTCTCTCTCTTTTTCTCTCTTCTCTGAGAAGATTATTTTCTACTTAGAGAGAAGAAATGTTGTTAATCTATGTACAAACAAGAAGTGATATGAGGAAAAAAACGGATATAAATATCTCAAAGTTCTCTTTAGATTCTTCTTTTTCTGATGATTAGTTGTTTGTCTTTGCTTTTTCTTCTTTTCTCGTTGATTGAGTAGATTTGTCGTAGGAAATAATGTTGAAAGAAGGTCAAACATATATTCAAGATTCAATTAACGAACAAAGAAAGATTTCTTTCTTTTTTTCTTTTCTTTTCTTTTCTTTGGAATATTTCTATTATTAAGAGAAGTTATTTATCCAGATATTCTCTTATGATTCATATCAGACATTGCAGATAATATGTCCTTACATATTCAAGGTTAACAGATCGACTCATATGGATATTAACAACGTCAGTATTTCTCCTTCCTTCTTTTTTCAAACATAATTACTTTTTTCTTCTTATTTCATTAACAAATTAGTGAGAAAATTATCGATAATTAATTTAACTATTTATATAATTTTCATTGTATTCTATTCATTAATAATCTTAAAATGAGTCATTTCATTTACTTTTCTCTTATTCGTAATCGAAGATTTGACTCAATTTGAATGATTTCAAGAAATTGAATTGTTCGATATCAAAATAGATTTTATCAATGGATGAAACTCATATTTTCTATTTTTTATCTTGATATTATAAAAAGTAATCAAAGCATATCAATGACGTCATTATCGATGATTTTCATCTCGAATATTTCTTTTCCAATAAGGCGATTGAACATAAATAACTCATTGTCAGCTATTTAAGTGTCAAGTTATCTCTAATAACAGGAATGATTATCTCACAAAAGATTATCAATCGAAACAAAAGTGCAATGAGTAGATATACCAATAATATCTTTCTCAAAGGACAAATTCTTGTAAGAAATCGCAAAATAAGGAAAGAGAGTAATTTGAAAACAAAAGAACATTGTGCGAGGCACATCGGAAAGATACACATATGATATCGTTGAATGTATTTCTACACTTTAAAAGTTAGAAAGAAAGATTGAAGAAATGAAAATTGTAAAATTTGTTTAAATTGAATGAAATCCACGAGTGACTATAAATGAAGAGTTTCCAACAAAATTCGAAGAGAAATCTTTTTTACATGAAATTTGAATTGATAAACATGTAAATGATGGTCATTTGGATATGCACATTGATTTGTAGATTGGAATCGAATAATGAATGAAGAAGAATTGGTTGCGAAGATGCGACATTCATTTAGATCAACACGAAGAAGGAGTTCAATTGAATTCGATTTCAAGTTCCAGAAACGAAGAAAAGCTTTGGCGAAAACGATGAATGATCAAATTCAAATTCAAATGCAAACCTATTTGATTTCTGTCAACAATTTCACATTCGCCTTTTCCAAGTAAACTCCAATGGGATGTTTTTTCATATAACTTTACTTTCGATTGAACTTTAACTCGATTTCGAGCGAATTTTTCAAATTTGTTCAACAGTTTTATTGAAATAAACTTTTTTCCAAAGTGAAAAGAGATTTTTGTTAGAAGAAAACTTTACTTTCCAAACAAATTGAACAAATTCCAAATGAACAGTTGGTGTTTCTTGTAGAACATTCCAGATCTCCTTCCAATTTTCATTGAGTAACAATCCAATAAGATGAGAGTAACGTAACTCAATATTATATTTATCTTCACGCTAAAGAAAAACAGAATTCTCTCCAAGAAAAACTTCTTTTTTTTACTAAACGTTGTTTTAACAAATCCATGGATTTCATTTTTTGATTAAGAAAATCAAACGCGCCTTGAAGAAATTCAACTATTCACAATGAAATTTCGACTGCTTCATCGATGTGAAGCCAGAATGAAGAAACGATGTGTTAGCTAGAAACTTTTTTTACTAAATAAGTCCCGTTCATGGACACGAAAGGAAAGAAATATGAAAGTTTTATTAGACATGTACAGTTGTAATTGTCTGACGAAGAAATACGACGCATTTCGAAAGCTAACACTTTATAGCTTTTTGCGAATCAATTTCGAATAAAGGAGGAGTACAATAATGAACTCAAATGGATTCATTTATCTCATTGTTTTCCTTGCATGAATTCACTCATCTTCAATCGTTTACATTAATTGTCTCGTATGATCATGATTTAGCTCTGTTTACTCGGAATACTTTCTGCCAGGCTCGCATACTGCTCTTTGACGTGTATCTCGTATAAACTGTGAATTTCGACAAAAATAGAATGATACCGTATTTTGTCATTATCGGATCGTCAAGAATGACGGAAAACACTCAACGGTGGTTATTCACTCACTGACATCGATATAGAACATATGTCAAACGCAACCTGTTTGATATTTTCGAGCATCGAACGAGTATGTGTATACCAGATTATTCTGCTTGTAAAAATACTAATGTCAATAATGCTCTTGATAATACGTTTCTAAACGAAAAGTAATACCAAATTTCAGACAAACCCTTCTATATAGTTGTGGGGAATCTGAATAGTGATTCATGGCCTGATTTCCTAGTAACTAATTATGGCAGTGCAACGATTCAAGTTTGATGAACTTACCAAACGGACAATTATATTTCACAGGAGCTCACATCATTTACAGAAGAATAACTTTTCCCGATACTCTAAGAAGAGAACAGACAGCTCTCGGTAGTTTCACTCATGATCATCAACTTGATATTGCAGCTTAGAATTACGGAGATCCTACGTTTTCTGTTCTCCTAATGATTATGTTTCGTTTTTACCCCAAATAATTTAGTAATGATTCTATCTCTCGTCTCTTCATATAATCGAATGTACACAGCAGACAAAAACTCTTGTTATTTTGTTTCTTTTTGTGACTATCCATAGGAAATCAACTGAACTATTCCATATGGATTGATTCCCGAATACACATTTTAGTAAACAAGTCATTCTTGATGAGTATTATTAACTTTATTCAGAATTTCAAAATTTACAACCAAATCTCCAGTAAATGAGACTGACATCGGTATGAAAGTGCATTCATTTGAAATCGCCGACTGGCACTTAATAAAGCACAACATTCCGAAAAGTAGTATGATAAATCATAAGAGCTGTTTTCAAAAGCTCTGCTCGGTGGACAACATAAGGTAAAATGTACTAATAAAGGAAAACGCTTAATAAGTTTCTTCATCCATCGAACTAAATGATCAGTTGAGAGCCACGTATTTGGATCTTTGTCAATTTTGAGAAATAAATCCTTCAAACGAGGTGGTGAGGTTGAATGATTAAAAAGAATAAGAACGAGTCGAGCAATATCGACGAATGAACTATTGCAGTCGACAGTTGTGTATTGAAAGATTTCTAATTTTGAAGTAAATAGAAGACCACATGGCACATCAAATGCAAGTGCACGGGCATAATCGAGATTGTGTTCGATGTGAATCTCTCGTAATTGTGGTGAACATTGAATAACATGAGCTAAACGTGTTAATCGATGGCCAATAACATGACTAGAATCGTTTATGATCAAAACGAATAGAAAGTCTTCCTAACTTACTCCTCATCTGGAAAACGATTAAATTTTACCGTTATTTTTCTTAAATGATGCCAACAAGATATTTCTTGTAGTTCTTCAAATAAATTCGTGTTGACATAATCATCCTCCTCAAGTTCCAACTAGAGAAGAAAAAAATGTTGTTGTTTTTTTTTGTTGTAATCGGTTTCTGTCTACTTCTTGTGCATTCTCATCCAATGGTTCACATCGTTGACAATTTTCACTACCGCTTGATGAGTACGAATCATCATCATCATCAGTATCCATTTCTGCTGGTTCGTCAACGCTATCATCATCATCATCACTACTACTTGAAGTAGTTTTATTCATGCCATCTGTGTCTGTCTGAAAAAAACACTTTTGAGGATAAAGAATTTCTATCGTTCCAGATCGTGCTGCATATTTTTTGCTAGTTGCTTGCTTATACTCATCGAATACTTCTTCTTCAAGGGATCGTAGAGCAGGCATAGATGGAGCAATATCGAATTTCATGCGAAATCGAAATACATTTGAACTCGATAATGTTAACCATCGTTGTAAGTCGGCAAGTCGAGGTAAATCTTTCGAATTTGCTAATTGAAGCTTACCAAATAAATGGAAATAATCCAGTTGACTATGTCGTTGGAGTTCTTCGAAGAAGGTTAAAACCCAAGTAATATTACTCAACAGTTCAACTTTCACATAACGTAATTCAGGAGCAAATGCTTGTTGTAAAGGTAAAACATCATCTAGTGTTTCAATCGTTGGTTCGATGTGCCCATGGCTACATAAAGCATATCAAACATAAACTGATCGCTGTTTTAAAAAGCAAAGCAAATGCTTACTGTATAAGTCTTATTTGTAATCGGCGTAATTGTGGTAAATAACCATTACTCAATAATTCGGCTAATAGTTGTCCTGAACAATCACTAATGAAGAGTTGTTGTAGATTTTGATGGATTTGCATGTCAGAAAGACGTTGATTCAGCTCTTCACTATCATAATCAGGCGGATGTTTCCAATTTTGTAAATGCAATGAACGTAATTCAGTTAAAGAATCAAGAATTAGTAGAAGTAATTCAAAATCTTCATATTTTTTGTATTCATCGGCATAATATTGATTCGAACGAGAAATCAACGTGAAGGATTGAATTTGAAATAATGATGTACAATCATCTAGAAGTGTTTCAAAGGCTTCACATGAAACATCTTCAATTGTGACTGCTTTCAATGCTGGCCACAATGCATTGTCCAATGATACTTCGGAAATAAACGATTCGACAGCACCTGGACAATAGCGTTCGGAAAGGTGAAGATAAACAACCTGCGAAGCATATTTTGGAAGGATTTTCGTTAAATAATCATGATAAAGTTTAGATCTCATCCATCGATTGCTTGGTAAAATTAATGGTTGTTCAGCAAGCATCAATTGAAATCGTTGGTTCAGGTTTTCGAAAGCACTAAGTAAATCATGTGGGGTAAGATGCAAGAAGATGAAATAAAAGAGCTCATTTGGCAAATCTTCCAGACAGGTTCGATCGATATTCATCTTAGAAAAACCGAAATAGTCGAAATTCGAAAATGAAGAGAATTTGCCGTTATATTCGTCTCTTTCAATAGAAACAGAACTCGATCGATGTCGCTAGGTGGATGTTGATATACTACGATTTCCAATTTCATACAATTCGATGCAAAGAAGATGATCAAACGTAGAAGACGACTTCGTTGTAAAGAAACTAGATAACATGACATATGCCAATTGTGCCCCATGTCATTGTGCTCGATCGGTTCCGCCCAATGAAATTCGTATTTGCCGAATCCTACCGAGCACTGTCGAGTTCTATCTAAAACGATCGGGACGATTGCTGGAGCGCATACGAGAACGAATAAATCCTGAAAAAGGTCGAATCTGGTACAAAGATCTTTTAGGTTCTGCTGACTGGGCAGACTACTCATAGACAAGCAGAACCAGGCTGAAAAAAACCAAGCAATGTATTCCTCGTCTCATTCAAGCAAACTCAGTGGTTTGGCGACACATCTGATACAAAAGCATTCTAATTACAGCGCTAATCAGATGAATTGATCAAACATTTCTATTCACATTTCTTTGAACTATAGCTTTCAATCGCTATATGATGAATAACTTCAGATACAGAGCACTTCGGACAAATCACAGTTCGCGTGAACTCCGCGTAATATGGACATGCGAAAAGCTTTCGAATAACGAACGATATTCAGTTGGTTCGCATCTGATAATGAGGTCTACCTATCCGCACACTCGAACCCTATCGGATACAACATTAGATAATCTAAGATCGATGACATTTATAGTTCCAGTATTTTACATTCATCCAGAAATCAATACAATGAGTTTGCACATGCCTAAATTTTGAGGAAATTCTTTATTTCGTAAATCTCTAATACATAATGTTTGATGAATAGCTGATCTATTTTTACTGCGACTGATTATGTGTTTTCCGCTTGGATATCAGTAGTGTAGAAATCGAAAATTGAATTCATATCTCTGGTTAGCACATGTATGACTTTATCTAAAACTTCACCAAATTATTTTCTTTAAAGAAAATATTCTCTTACGTAGACCAAGTGTGCGTTCTGGTGGCGGGCAAACCTGTGTCGCTATTTATTTCATGGCAATTATCCCAACAAAAACTACAGGATGGACGCGCAAATTCCCATTTACAGCAACGCTATATAGGTGACAGAACTTGGCCGATTCTAAAATCCACGACGGTCGTCCAAAACGGCCATACGTTTTCATCCAAATGAGAAAGATGACTCGCTGAATGGATAAGAGCGTCCCAATATTTGATGGAAGCATAAGCCAAACAAAATAGTGTGAGAAAAGTACAACCAAAAAGAATGTCTGGCCCATTTCTTGATGAACACGACGGTGATTACCATTAAAATTGAATGAATATATTATCAATCTATACTTATCCTATGAATCTCTATTCTGTTACAGTAGTCAGAAGTAGCTGCATTTTTCGCAAAGAGTCCTATCCACTGGATATGATTCGATTGAACAGGACCAAATAATGGTGATGCTGATAATGATAGACAACAATGAGACAGATTGGCATATTCGCATATAGATGATTCCGAACAGAAAGACCAGGAAGATTGATGCAGCTCATAATCTTAGGGCAATTGAAGAGTTTTAACTAGTCTCTATAGTAACTCAATTTCCATTATATTCTCTAAGGAAACACTCACTTTATTTCGCACTAATATTAGTTTAATTGTAAAAAAAAAAGAAGCCCTTCTATAAATTAATACAAATACAACACATTTGGAATCATTCCGGTACGAATTCTATTTTGAAGTCTTTCGATAAACGATTGATCTGGAGAATAGGATCGTTGCTCTATATCTAATGCATATCTATAAAATTGTATTGCTTGATTCGAATAGTGGTGTTTCTGATAAATATCACCGATTGCCAGATACATCCATATAATTGACGAGCCTTTCTCAGAGGTTTGTCTCAATTGAGCATTCAGTGAACTTTGAGAAGAACTCAAAGCTCGATAATAATCTTGTCTCATGCACGATAGATTTGCAAGAATTTCGTAGATTTCATTGAGTGTGAATGAACTTTTGGGATAATTTAATAAGTTTGTAAAATAACCGACGAGATGGTTCGACAGAGAACTTTGCAAATAGAAATTATTCAAATACTCATCAAGCTTTGTCAATTAATTGGGATAAAATGAATGAAGAAAATAATCCTTTGTCAAAAAGATCAAATCCAATCTGATAATAAGTTTCATCAAATATTCTTGTCTGTGAATTTAATTGACAGTTCAATGAGTGTAGATAGTACAGTAATGATTGATAATAGAATTGTTTTTTCAAATAGATTTTCCCAATAAATTCATAGAGATATCTGAATGAATTATGAAAATACGGTTTTGTCTTTAACTCCTTGAGTAAAAATAAAGAAAAATATTCGTAAGACTTGTCATCATTTTGTTTTTCATAGAAAATATTTCCTAGAACCAGATTTAATTCATTATTTAATGATGACTTCGGCGAATATTTTCTCAATTGTTCCTGAAAATAAAACGCTGCTTGGTCTAAAAGGCATTTTTCGAAGTAAAGATTCTTAATATGTTCCGATTCATTTTCAATTTGGTTTTCTTTAAAATTCGAATAGAATAACAATGACCGATCGATTTTTTTTCTCTTCAAATCAATTTTCTTAATAAATACATGGATTTCAGCGATATTTTTATTCTCGATTGGTAATTTGGCTCAATGACAATTGAGCAAAGGATTATAAAACACCAACAATGCATTGAGTTTGTCCTGTTTATAATAGACATAGACGATTCTCTGATAAAGTCCAATTAAAGAGAAATCTTCGTTTCTAATTCATTTTTCAAAGAGTTGACATAGAAAGGCAACATTTCATCTAAGATTTGTTTGTCGGAACTTGTTTTATATTCATCAAAATAAAGATCGGCGAGTATTTTATAATTGTTTTTTATTTTGATACTTCGTCGAAATTTCCTTTTTTTCCCATGAATATTTCCCAAATCCAAAAAAGTTTTCATCACAAAAGGAAGTTCTGCAGTTAAAGTCTTCAATTGATTTTTGAGATATTTCTCATAATAAAATATTCTTTGATTAAGATCGCATTTTTTTCACATAGAAAACGGAAATTTGTAATTTGACTCATCACATCATTTTGTAGATAAAAGAATTCTTTTCTCGTTTGTCATTTATTGATTTGTTTTCTAAGAAGAGAAGAAAATAACATTGGGTACATTGTAATTAAGATAAACAAATGTTCTTTCGTTGTGAATGAGTGACATCTGGAAAGAAGAAATTTCAATGGAAAAATAAACAAATGAATGGAAAAAAAGAATTGAGATTTGTGTTAATTAATTGAAGAAAGAGAAAAGAAAATGAATAAAGTTAAAGAAAAGATTTTTGTTTTAATTTTAAAAGAAAATGAAGATAAAAGTGAAGAATTATTTCGATTAGAAAAGAATTCGATTATTCAAATAAGTTTATCATCTTGTTTATCTTATAAAAATGTTCGATTTTTTACAAATTATCCATTAAATGAATCATTTCATCGAAATAAATATTCTGAATTGAAATGGATCAATACAGATCGAGATATTTTACTTGATTGTTCCAAATCTGGTTCATTTCATTATTATTTTACCATCGATGGATCAAAGTAAAATTGTTTCTTTTTCGATTCGATAATGTTTCTTTTGTCTTTTTGAAGAGAAAATCGAAATGGTCAAGGTTATTTTCACATTTGTCCTCAATTAATTGTCTCAACAGAAATTCTCAATGAAAATTCTTTAACCTGTCAAACAATTCTTTCGAAATGTTTAGGTCGATATTGTGAATGGATGTCTCGTCTTGAAGTATCATATCATAGTGGTTATAATTTAATTCATTTCACTCCAATACAAATTCTTTCAAAGATTTCCAATTCATCATATTCAATTAAAGATCATCATCAGATAAATCCAATTTTTCAATGCTCATTTGAACAAATTGAAAAACTTGTTGAAAATCTTTTTCAAAAATGGAAAATCTTTTCAATTACTGATTTAGTTTATAATCACGTTGCAAATGATTGTCAATTAATTGATGATTATCCACAAATAACTTATAATTTAGTGAATAGTCCATATTTAAGACCTGCTGTTCTTCTTGATTCAATTTTAATTCAATTAACTCGAGATATTTCACAAAATCAACTTTTATCCAAAGGAATTTCATCAAATCTTCAACAAGATCATTTGGAATTAATTCGAAATTATCTTCTCAATGAACAAATTCCGAAATATCGTCTATGGGAATTTTATATTGTTGATATTGATGAAATTGTTAAAGAATTTCGTGAATTTTTATCAAAAGAATCTTTTTGTTCAGAAAAATCTTCGAATGAAAAACTTGAAATTGATCACGGAAAATATTATCGATTAAAAAGTTCAATTGATTTTCAATTGGCTAAAAAGATTTATTATTATCAACGATCAAATGTTGACAAAACTGAAGAATTGATTGGAATATCCTGTGAACAATTCAAATCCGATTTAATTCAAATCAATGAAAATATTCGAAATGATTTAAATAAAAAACTTGAACGTGCAATTGACAATTGTATTAAATCGTGTTTTTATCGATTTTTTGCGTATGATGGACCGAAATACAAACAAATTTCATTTCCATCAATTCCCTTTGTTTCCAATTATTTTTCATATCCAAATCAAGAATTTCCACATCCCGATGAAATCAATCGTCTCATTGAAAATGATTTGGAATATCAAATGAAGATCATGGCACATAACGGATGGGTGATGAATGACGATCCACGACGGAATTTTGCTGAAGAAGGTCAAGATGTTTATTTATGTCGAGATTTAATTCCTTGGTGCGATTTAATTAAATTACGCTTTGGAAATCGACGTGAACAATGTCCTGAGATTTTATATTCTTATATGAAAGAATATACACGATTAATTGCCAAAACATTTCATGGATGTCGATTAGATAATTGTCATTCAACACCGATTTGGTTTGCACAAGAAATGATGGATTATGCAAGAGAAATCAAACCGAATTTTTATATAAATGCCGAATTATTTACGGGAAATATTTCAATTGATAATTATTTTATTAATCAGATTGGAATTGATTCAATTGTAAGAGAATCTTATCGCGCATTTAATCCGTATGAATTAGGTGAAATGATTTCAACAATAAGTCAATCAAATCCAATTGGTTCATTTATTCAATTGAATGTTTTACCATTAAAATCAAGAAAATCTTCGTATTTATTTTATGATCAAACACATGATAATCCATCATTGATTGAAAGAAGATCTGTTGAAGATCTTCTTCCACGTTCAGCATGTGTTACAATGACAAATTCAAGTATTGGTTCAAATCGTGGTTATGATGAATTAATTCCACATTATATTGATGTTGTTCATGAAACAAGATTTTATGCGAAATGGGGTTATAAACATCAACAAATCAATGAAAAAACAGCATTAATTTCAATTCGAAAAGCATTAAATCATTTACATGTTGATCTTTCTCAACAAGGTTTTACTCAAGTAAAAACGTTTTTCTTCTCTTCAAATATTTTCTTTGTTTTATGTGAATCTTTTTAGTTAATGGTTGATCAATTATCAAATTCAGTGTTATTAATAACTCGTCATAATCCTGAAAATCATCAATCTGTATTATTAATCGCTCATACATCATTTTATCAATCAAATGACAAATGGGAATACATTAGTTCGTTGACAATTGATGGAATTATTAATGAGATTCTTTTTGAAGGGATTCTTCATCATCCACAAGAGAAAGAATCAGTAAAAGATTTTCAAAAATCCAAAGAATATTTAAATGGATTGGAAAAAACTAAAATTTATTTTAAAGAAAAAGTTTTTCTTGAAGAAAGTCGTTGTATTCGTTTAACATCACCGAATTCTCCTGATTATACGGGTTATCGAACAATTGAATTTACAGATGAATTTGCTCCTGGTTCAATCATTGCTTTACAAATTTCTCTTCTTCCACAAATTTCTCAATCAATTTCGAATTTAAAAGAACTTTGTAAACAATTCGAAAATCCAACAAGTGAATTTTGTCAAATTATGAAACAATTAACATTAGTTGACCTTCAACGTATTCTTTATCGTTCATCAAATGAAGAACAAGCAGATGGAAATGGTTTTGATGTTTATTTCATTCCTGATTATGGTCAATTGAATTATTGTGGTTTACAAGGTTTAATGTCAATTTTAGAAAAGATTCGTTTACAAAATTCTCTTCGTCATCCATTAATTCTTAATTTAAAACAAGGAAATTGGCTAATGGAATATATTGTCAATCGATTGAAAATCTATTCGAATACAAAACAATTGGCTCAATGGTTTGAAAATGCTTTTTTCTATATTAAAACATTAACACGTGTGATGATTCCCGTGTATTTTGATTTAATTATAACAAAATCTTATTTAATATTCTTAGAATATGGTTGGTCATTGATGACTCCATTTATTTCTCAATCATCAACATTGATTCGTTCACTTGCTCAAACAAGTATTCAATTAATAAGTATTGTTCCAGATGCTCGTTTACCTTTATTATCATTGAATTTACGTCAACCAAAACCAAAACAAGAAATTGATCAACAAACAATGGAAACAATTCAATTGTGTCCTTCATTAGCTGCTGGTCTTCCACATTTTTCGAATGGAATATGGAGAAATTGGGGAAGAGATACATTTATATCATTACGAGGTCTTCTTCTTCTAACTGGTCGATATGAAGAAGCGCGTTATTTGATTTTATCTTACGGTGCTTGTCTTCGTCATGGTTTAATACCAAATCTTTTAGCTGATGGTAAAACTGCTCGTTATAATGCACGAGATGCTGTTTGGTGGTGGTTATTTTCAATATCAAATTATACAAAGATGGTTCCAAATGGTCATGAAATTCTTTCTGATGTTGTTTCACGTTTTTATCCAACTGATGATTCACCTTTACAATCGATTGGTTTACATGAACAATCTTTATTTGATGTTATTCAAGAAGTTCTTATTCGTCATGTTCAATCGATTAGATTTCGTGAACGTGGTGCAGGATCTTGGTTAGATCCCAATATGACAAATGAAGGATTTCAAAATCATATTGGAATTGATCTTCAGACTGGTTTTATTTTTGGTGGAAATCAATGGAATTGTGGAACTTGGATGGATAAAATGGGTTCAAGTGAAAAAGCTAAGAATAAAGGACATCCAGCAACACCACGTGATGGTTCAGCAATCGAATTAATTGCGTTATCTCGTTCAATACTTGATTGGTTAATTCAAATGAATCAACAAGGTTTTTATCCATATAAATCAGTTGAAACTAATTCAAATTCAATGGAAAATATTGAAATTTCTTTTCAAAAATGGATTCAATTGATTGATGAAAATTTTGAAAAATATTTTTGGATCGATCAAACAAATTCATCAAAATATGTTCATCGAAAACAAATTTATAAAGATTCAATTAATTCAACATTTCAATGGACAGATTTTCAATTACGACCAAATTTTCTCATTGCTGCTGTTGTTGCTCCGCAAATGTTCGAGAAAACTCATATTTGGTTGGCTTTACAACAAGTCGAACAAATTCTCTTAGGGAAATATGGAATTAAAACACTCGATCCAAATGATTATAATTATATTGGTGATTATGATAATGATGATGATTCAAATGATTATAAACGAGCACATGGCTTCAATTATCATAATGGTCCTGAATGGCTTTGGTTAACTGGATATTATATTCGAGCAAAACTTTATTGGGCAAAACAACAAAATGATCCTTTAATTATTGAACAAACAAAAAAACATATTGAAGAAATTCTTTGTTCACATAAGGAATTAATTTTATCAAATGATTGGAAAGGTTTACCGGAATTAACAAATGCAGATGGAAAATTATGTTCACATTCATGTTCTGTACAAGCTTGGTCTTCAGCTACACTTTTAGAAGCTCTTTATGATCTCACACAAACATAGAATTGACCAGATACATCTCATTTATTTATTTATTTATCGCTTTTTATCGTTTTAATAATAATTAGAATAAAAGTTAAACGAACTCGTTTCTTGCTAAACAAAAAAACCAAAGTCAAATGATGTTATTTATTAGGGATTGGATCTTATCAATCATAATTTATATTTTGAATTTGATGATCTTGTCAAATTTGAGACAATATTCTCCTAATTATCTCATGTACTTTCTGAGTGGTACAATCAATGTATAATTCAATTTGAAGTAACTATTCCAAATCTGAAAACAACAGTGAGTACACTTTCTAATAACATTGAGATCATTCGTTTCCATTCCTCTCGATCTCGCATAGTAACGCGAGAAAAAAATTGAAATAGATCATGTTTATAAATGATTTACAATTAATGAGATATGTTTCACAATAATTGATCGACTGCGTTCTTAAAATAAATCAATCGAAAATTATTCAACAAAGCTACATTTTTATATGGATCGGCAAAGACAAAAAAAAGCATCTAAATGAATGTGAAAACACTGAAAATATGAAGAAATCGCAACAAATACTTTCAATCGACTTCAGAACGCATGTGATCGATGTCAGCGAAGACGAAGTTAAGACTGTAGCACCCTCACCCTTTTTTTCGCGGAAAAAATAATTCGAATATTTCATCATCATCATCATCATGCTGATTTCATCAGTATTTCATCTCACACCATCTTACCTTATCTTCCGTTTTTTTTCTCATTCAATATCAATGCAATTGTGCAATTCAACTATATTTTATTGTCGCCGTTTGTCTTTATAAAGAAAAAAAAACACAGAATTCTTCACAATAAAACCAAACAACAATAAATGGTTCTGGACAAGAATGGTCTCCGCGTCGATGATACAACCCCATCAGTACGCTTTTCTGTACGTAATCAAGCAGCAATCAATGAAGGAATCGCTCATTTGAATAAGTATGGATATACAGTGTTCAGTGATGTGATGGAAATGGAAAGGATCGAAGAGAATAAGGAACTGCTGTGGCAATTTCTCGAATCCATACCAGCACCTTACAATCGTATACGTCGAAATCAACCTTCTACATGGAATTACTGGTAAATCAATTGCACGATCGAGAATTTTGGATCTACGATTTCTTTTGTGTGAATATTTTAGGCCAGGTATACGTTCCCACGGTGTAATAAATACTTATGGTATGGGTCAATCTGCGTTCATGTGGAATATTCGATCGAATCGTCAAATCAAACGGATATACGAGCAATTATGGAATCGATCTGATCTTCTTGTCTCATTTGAAGGTTGTGGCATTTTTCGAGATTGGTCATTCAATGAAACATGGAAAACAGAAGATGGTTGGAATCATGTTGATCAAAATCCAAATTCGAAACCCGATAGATGTTGCGTTCAAGGATTTGTTTCTCTTACAGATCAGAACGAGTCGACAGGTGGATTGGTTGTTTATCCAGAATCCCATTCACGATTCTCTGAACTTCGAGGGCTCGGAAAGGGATCACGCGATTTTGTTTTCGTTCCTGCAACTCATCCAATTTTTGATGGAGGTCGTGCTATAGGAAAACTAGTTCATTGTAATGCTGGCGATCTTGTCGTGTGGGACAGTCGTACCATACATTGTAATTCGCCAGCAACAGTACCAAAACAAAATCATGGAAAAGTAGATCTTCTTCGGATTGTTGCTTATGTTAGCATGAGTCCAATTAATCTCGTATCGAAACAATACACACTTGATGAATTTCGTTTCGAACGCGAACAAATGGTACAAAATAATCGTACATTGACTCATTGGAGTACTGAAATCATTCTAGGAGGTGAGCGTATAAATATTTTATAGGGATTCGAAAGTGCATTTTTTTTTGTAGCAATGGCAAATCCTCTCAATAAGCAACAACTATCTTTGGATAATTTCACTACCTATCAACGGACACTCATCTTTGGTACAATTCCTGAGGACAAGGACGATGAAAAATGAAAGTTAAAATCTATTACGATGATTAATCTTTTCATTTACTATAATAAAATTCTTAAAAATAAAGAAATAATACTCATTTGAAGGTTCCATTAGCTCATTCTCATCGAAAGTTTAAAGATGTGGGGTGTCAATACTATTTTTTACCTTCATCCCAAACCCTATATTTAGATTTAAAATGACATCTTTCGATCTTTAATGACATTGGATAATCATATTTTAAAAAATAGAATCAAAGTGGAACATCGGTGTGAAGCGAGCACCAGAAAACGAAAAATCATACAAAGACTCACACTGACTCAAAGAACAACGTGTTTACCATATAAATGATCTTTAATCGAATTTCTTGAACAAAATCAAATCTAATAAACTCAACTTTTCCTCATAAAAAAGACTTCCAAGAATTTACCAGAAGAAAAATGAATTATTGTCGTAAAACACTTCTAAACAGAAGACAGCAGATAAATCTTACCTATATTCGGAATTTACATTCGCGTGACGAAATATTACCAATGAAAAAATTAAATATTACATCATATGGATCAGTTCAACATCGTCATGAAATTATATCAAAAATTGAAACAATAATAACAAATTGTGGTGGTTATGTTAATGATTACAATTTCTTTTCAGATTTTGCTGTTAGTTTACAAATCTTAGGTCTTCGACAACCCGATTCATTAACTGAATTTTATCGACAATTAAAATCAAATGTGAAACAATTACGATTAGATAGTCAAACTATTCGTCTGTTAGATAATCAATGTAAAAGTTTTGATCAATATTTATTATTTATTCTTTTTCAAATACTATTCATTGATGCTAAAGGTGATACATGACAAAATGTACCTGCTGTTCAAAATTAATTTCTTATTGTTTAGCCTAGGGTGGTGAGAGTGAGGGTATGAGTTCGAACAAAGAATAAAAAATGAATCTCTTATTTGCTAATAGAATTAGTAAAAATAAATATGTGGCGTTCATCTGAGATCTCGTGTAACTTGTTGCTGTGGAAAGTTTGAGCGTGGATATTATTTATCAATGCAGAAAAGATCACATAAGAAAGAAATCTTAGCTTATCAACCACCCAGGTCGAACAATCCCATCAGATCCTAAAGGAATTCGACGGATCCGATGAAATCCTGATGACGGAATCGCATTGAATTCCGACTGTCTCGGATCCGAAACATGGATTTCCTGGATTTTCTAAGGATCATCATAGAATATAGCTAAAAAGATCACTCATAAAATTTGCAACAACCGACGGGATTTTTCTACTCGGATTTGTTGACCTGGGCAACCAACAAATGAAAATAAATCAATATTCATTACACTGTAAAAAAGCGTCTCTTTATCAACTCTTGCACTTAAAATAATTTCGCACCAATGGCTGAAGGACATACTCGGTTAAGATAAACTTCCGAGAGGTTTATCAGCTATAGTGGATACACGAACGGAAGAGTTTTTGAAACTTGCTAGGGAATAATAGACTGTTTAGTCGTTTACTAAGATACGTTTATGCATAGAAGTAGGGATGTGCGGCGTCAGTGACAATACTGAAAAAACTGAAACTGTTACTGACCATTGGTGTGCACCGATGACATCAGCGACACTGATTTCAGTGACATCTTCACATTGAACTTTACAATATGTAGCAATACATACTTAGAATGAATTAATAAGATGTCAGTGCAACACTGACGGTGCACTATCAGTGTGCAGTGAGTTTACTAGCGGCGTTTGTCAGCGTTCAGTTATTCCACACAGCACATCCCTACGCAGGAAAGGTTGTTTAATCTTTATTTCACAGTAGATAGTTGAACGCTTGCCTAGCAATGATTTATTATTCAACGGATAGGAGTAGATTGATTCGTTGCAGTATCATTAGAATATATTGTTCTATGAAAAAGGATAAAATGTTGAACATTACCTCCAAAATGATATTTTACACTACGTTTGCATAAGGAAAGGTTTATTTACCTACGTTTACTACAGAACAATTTATTCTTGACCAAGCAATGTTTATTACTTAATGAGTGAGTAAAAACTAGTTTTCTACAGCACGCATTTAAGTTAGATTATTGTACGCGTACACACGAAGGATAGATCATTCTACCATATTACGGTTTATGACCAATGAAACCGCTCAAAGAGTTTAATATTCTACAGTATCACCACATTTGACCATTCACATTCATACAGGAGACAACAATGGTCAACTCATCATGTGTATACCCGGATGTGGTGGTACAGGAAAATCACAACTTATTCGTGCTGTTACCGAATATGTTCTGGTTACAAACAGAATCCAAAAGATGCGAAACCTAGCACCTACTGAACATGCCTTAAAGAATAAAACTAAAAATCTCAAATATCACCTTGTGAGGGTGTGGGTGGCGATCAAGGTGTAGTTCTGGTTGTCTCATTGTTTTATGTCCACCATACTATCTCTGAAACCTTACATAGACTCACCCTCCATGGATATGCAGGTAAGTAATCCCTGAGCTCTAAGGGTTAGAGAAGCTGCTTAATTCGACTTATAATATAAGTGACCAATTCCTAGCACCCTTAGGAATAGAAACAGATTTAGTTTTACTTACACATATATACCCCCCACACCCCTGTGAGTTTAGGAATAGAAATAGATTTAGTTTTACTTATACATATATACCCTCACCCTCACCCACACCCTCGCCCACACCCACACCCACACTCTCAAGATGGTGTGTTTGCCATAAACAGATGCCCTCTTTCTATCGATCATTCTATCTATTAAGTGGATAAGCCAATAATTTTCTTTTCTTTTCTCTCATAAAGTTCACCAATCAGATGAGGGTGTCGTCAATCTGAAGAAGTACCGACTTATTGATGAATATCATCAAAATTCTGACAATAAAACGTTCAAAAATCTTAGACATTTGAAAATAATGCTGGGTGCTAAACGTTCGAAAACAGGTGTGCCTTATACGATAGGTAAATTGTGACGAATTGAATTTTTTTGAAATCACACACTATACAAATTTGGTTGGTATAACTCTTGAGTAAGGCGGAAGCAAAGTTTCTTTGATAAGTTCTTAGATTTGCTAATTTTTCTAACATTCCAAAATTGCCTCATAAACTGAAATATAGATGAGAGTGAAAGATTTTGTCTCGCTTCGTCCTTTGGTTAATCTTCATAATAAACACATAGATATACTTATGCATTTATTCTAGTGAGCCGTCACATGTGTTATCCTGAAATGCGCAAACCTTTGCTTTCAATTGTTCCGCAATTTTTTCTACTGCGTAACGACAGTATTGGCGCCCATTTAGCTACCTTACTACAATCATCACTGATGCGTCAAGTTCAATCCTTTGAACTCGATGATAATTGTCTATTAAGTGGACCAATTACTGGTGAGCAATTGCGTATTCCTGAAGCAGTTCAATTGACTCATATTCGTATATCATTTTGAAATTTTGCGCAATGTGTCGGTTTATTAATTCAATTAGGCTGTCAACTTCAATCATTGACAGTTACTATAGCAATGTCTAACGAAAATCGAGAAACATTGAATAATGTAATTCAATCGGTAGGTGATATTTCTCGATATGATATGTCAATAAATTGATTCATTTAGATTTCATGTCCGAATTTGAAACATTTGACGATCAAGATGTACCGTAATTTTAAGAACTTCGATGTGTGTCTTTGCCTTTTAGAACGATTATCGAGCGTCGAACAGTTAACATTAATATTAGCGATAGACGAAACAGATACGACACCCATTCATTTTGTTGACCAATTATTTTCCGAAAAGAATATTTATCGATGTATCCCTAATTTACATCAATTTCATTTCCATATTCGTTCAATATTCAAAGGTGCTTCTCAGACGACAGTTGATCAAATCCTTCAAGGTTTTGTAAAACGAGAACATCATCAATCATTTCATTGTGTTATCGATCATTTCAATAATAGTTACGGGCAGTGTCAAATTTATTCACTTCCATTTATTGGTACTCGGCTCGATTTCGTGTCAAATCGTTTTCCGTTCTTTGATAATCATTCGACTTTTTCATCCGTTACAACAATGTTGCTTTTCGATGATGTCGAACCTTTCGAAAATGTTTTCTTTGAACGTATTGCTCAAGTCCTACCTCGTCTTCGAACACTTGAGATAATTAATCCACTCGAACAAAAGAAAAAATCCGCCGTAACAAAAACTAGTAACGCTCGTCGAGGTAGACTCGCTATACCCTCGACTGAACCACTGACTGAAAATAAAATAGTCTTATGTGCGTTTTATGCAAAAAAAGACAGAACTATAACCTTTGAAAGGGTCCCCAGAGACTGATCTTCATTCGCCTCAGTCTTCAAAAGAGTCAAGGGAATACTTGTGCTGCTTCCAGGTCAACAAATCCGATGAGATCCGATCGGATTCCTGGTGACGGAATTGCATCGGATTCCGACTGGAAAATCCAGTCATTTGTTGCAAATTTTATGTGCGTTATTTTTAGCTAGGTTCTATGATGACCCTTAGAAAATTCATAAAATCCGTGTTTCAGATCCGACGCAATCCGACACGGGATCCGATAGGATCCGTAACCGTCGAAATCCGAAGCAATTCCGTCACCAGAAATCCTATCGGATTTCGTCGGATTGTCGGATTCCGATAAGATCCGACAGGAAGCAGAAGTTGGCTATAAATGACTATTATGGATTTGCACTTTTAAACGTGTGCTCCTTTTTCGAAAAGAAAGATAATTTCGGTAAAACCAAATGAGACTCTGTATATTTCGCATTCGAACGTGTCGGATTGTTGATACTTTGGTAACTGGCTAGATTACCAGGCGCAGCTCGTTGTTCGTCGGCGCCCCACAGGGGCGCCACTCACAACTCGCCGCTCCAAAGCTGTCCCTATCTATCATATGATTACTCGTGTGCTACTATAAAGTATCGATAATTAATTAGCATTCTAGCAGCATCTTATGGATAAGATTGTCCTCGTCCGAACATTTGAGGTTATCTCCTTAATTAAAAAGCTTAAAGACCTACAAAAACTTTCAATATATCGAAGCTCAGCATTTAAGATTGCTCTCCAGTATGTACCTTGTGAATGAATGTATTTTTGGATTACTGGCCTTTGGTATGTGGCAGTCAACCGGGTGTGTTTTTACTTTTTCCTAATCAACTCTTCTATGTAGCCCTTCTCTCAGGCGCGGATGAAATGTTTTCTTCATTTCTGTCACATCCCTGCCCCGTCACCCCTCCTCCAGCCTCAGCATTCCTGCAAAATCATGTATTACGAAGTTTTGAGCCTTTTTCAAGAAAATGTTTCTTTGGCCTTTGACTCTTGACCCCGACGCTCACCTCCCCCTCCCCTCAACACACCTANCTTCCATTTATTGGTACTCGGCTCGATTTCGTGTCAAATCGTTTTCCGTTCTTTGATAATCATTCGACTTTTTCATCCGTTACAACCATGTTGCTTTTCGATGATGTCGAACCTTTCGAAAATGTTTTCTTTGAACGTATTGCTCAAGTCCTACCTCGTCTTCGAACACTTGAGATAATTAATCCACTCGAACAAAAGAAAAAATCCGCCGTAACAAAAACGAACATTATCTTTCCTCATTTAACTGTGCTCATTTTATACGATAACCATATGGACTATACTGAACTATTTCTTTATGGAATTCATCTTCCTTCTTTAATCGAACTCGCTATTGACAAAGATATGTTGTTCTCATTGATTGCTCAAAACCAACAACGAACAAGTGACAATTGTTCTAGATTGAGAATAATACACACATCAAAGCCGTCCTACGAATCAAAAGATGCTATTCAAAAGTTTTTTCCTCAAGTTGACTATCTCGTGCATGTAAAAGATCGAATGTGATAAAACAACTACTGTATTATGAGTATGTCGACTAATCTGTTGATGAACTTATGTTTTTCTATGATAAATCAAACAACCCAGGACGATCGTTCCTGGAAGCAGTATTCCGCTTATTTCCGGCGAAAACACGCAGGATATTCATAGTTTCCGCACTGGAAACCACGAGAAAGTACTCGGAATCCTACCGAAGGAACCGGTAACCGTATCCGACTATCGGTTATGGCGGGTTCTTGCTGGTTCCGGATAAAACCTTTTAAATCTGATGAAAGGATCCGATCGGCGGAATACTGCTTCCATGAAATCCACGGAAGGTCCTGGAACTGGTCGGTTTCGGGCCGGATTGTTCGACCTGGGCTGTGTCAAAAGAATATCTGAAAATGCAGAAATGACACGATATTATGAAGGTGAAATTATTCAACGTCAAAATGAAATCAGTCATTCATTTTATGTCGTATTAAAAGGTAAAAATAAATATGAAGTTTATCTCAATCGATAAAAGTTTGTCTTAGGTCAAGTGCGTTGTTATTCACATTCCAATGGTTCATACGTTCAAATAGCGGTCCTTAAATGTGGTGATTTCTTTGGAGGAAAAGGACTGTTTGACAATTCACCAAATGTTACAACGATCGAAGCAGAAGATGAAGTTCAATGTTTAATTATCAGTCGCGAACTCTTTGACAAAGAATTAAGACCTATCATCAATCAACTACAACAAGCTAATCATTTATATGATTTATTTAAAAATCAGTTCTAAAATTTCATTTCATCATAAAATTTTTTCGTCTACAAGAAGTGTCGTCATAAAAGGATTTATCGGAAATAAACAGAAGAATTTTAGCTTGAGTATAATCGTATGTAGAATCTTTGTACTTATCGAAAAGTGACATTGATGAAGAACTCCATGAAAATAACTATGACTGTTATGATTGAAATAATTGTCAAAAGAAAAACCTTCTATATATACCAACAAATGAGAAGAAAAAGATTAATCAAAAGAATGTACTAATAAACGAGAGAGAGGTACTACTTCGTGACACACATGAACTCTTTTGCCATTTGTAATTATTCTTTTATACAATCGTCTTTGAATCGCTTTCCAAATGAATATTACTGGCCTCCGATTGCGAATTTCTTGAAAAATAGGAATCCTTAGAGGACTGATTCCGTCTGAAAAAAAGGATTTTCAATAAAAATGACAAAAATATAGGTTTATATATTCTTTGCCAAAACA